CTGACAGCAGTAGACCACTCAGATACTAGAACTAGTCAAAAGTTTGGTTTTACAGAAATTTCAGTTTGCATTTATGGTGTACTGGTACTTCAGTAATAGAGATGAGGCAGGGTCAAGCTAGGGGAGCAAATAATATTTGTGACCATGCCATAAATGTGAATTTTTCTGAGTGAACTTCAGGTGTAATCACAATTTTAGTAACGATACAGATGGCAGTCAGCATGGTTTCTTAAAACAGCCCTTCTTTCTGCTGCTCCAGATTCAGAAAAAAATCATACTTTGCAAAAGGAGCTGCAGGAGAACTGATACGGGAATTATAATATTTTTTATTTTTGAAAAGCGTTCTTAAAGTTGCTGAGTGACATTTTTGGTAGCAAACTACTAAATATTCATAGCTAACCATTTCTGTGGGTCCAAGAGCAATGATGTTGAGACAGGGCTGAGGGCAACACTTGCTTGGTCACCTTGTTGGTCTCAATTCTAGGTTTTTGAAGGGGTCAGGACCCCTGATGTAAGCTTTGGATTTCTTCAGTTTGTTCTGCTAATATTTGTCTTCCTTATCAGTAGGTCAGAAATATGACTTTTAATCCAGAAGTATCAAGGGATATTCTAACTGAAAATAACCCAGTAAGCAATGATGACTTCTGTTATCAAGTAAAATAAAATTAAAAGCCCCCACAACTCCAAACCAGGTCATGAGCAGGTACAGACAATGGGTACCTCATCGCAATCACTTTTCAACAGTTTTTGTCAGTACCCCCACATTTGAGCCATTCTGACTCAGAGAGGTGCCCTGTTCTCTCTTGAAATCTTGAAATATTAAAAATTATATTCAATTTCAACAGTGAATCCTGTCTCTTAAATAACTAAAATACTTTACAGTTGGCCCAGAAATTTCATTTAAGGATTAGTGAACCCTGTTTTCCCTGTTTTAAATCCCAATTAAACCTCGCTCCTTCTTCTCATTCCCATTTTTAGCTTATAACTTCAGCTCAGGAAAACTTGCATGAATATGCCGCTAATATCTGTAATTGCATTAGTGTTCTAATATTCCATCAAAATAATTTCAAATGGAAATACGTTGAACCTCTTTGCAGTATTTTGTAAGCTTTATTTCATTAAGGAGGCTGTGGCATCTGTAACAGTACCATTACATTTCAGAAACAGGGCTATGCTGTTTCTTCATCCTTATAGTTACATTTATCTCAACTGTTGGGGTTTTTTTATAATGGTTGCTTGCAAAAATGTCCAAAGCAGGCTTAGTGACAAGACTGTGCTGGATGTTTTGCATGAAACATGATGCTGTGAAAGTCTCTGGTTCCTTCCTGCATTCAGAGTAATTTACAGTGCTTTCTGTAACTGGTGTGAAGAGTTAGCCCACATTTTGCAGGGCTTTGGCTTTATGAAAAATCAGCTGCTATAAAAATTCCTGACTCATCAGGAGAGATTGGAGTAATATGCCACACTAAAGCAAACCAGGCGGTGAATCCTCAAACTCGTGAGCACTCTGAGAATTCAAAAATATGGCATTATCTTCTTTGCCCCAAGTCCTCCAGTACTCTGAGAATAAACTGAGCAGTTATTCCTAAACTAAACATTTCAGATCAGAAGCAAAAATGTATCAGATCTTTAAAAGTAACACTAATAACTTACAAGTATTCAATGAAAATTAATACGATGTTGTAATAATGCAACTTTTTATAAAATTAAATTCTAATAATTCTAGTCATTTTTCTGTGTGAAAATGAAAAGGTGTCCCACTAGAATGCTATTAAATAATATGTAATTATTATTATTACTATTTATCATGCTGTTGGAAAGATAGAGTCAAAGAAATGGAAGTGAGCAATCAAAAAAGTTGAATGAGAGGCAAAGACATCCTTTTCCACGGATATCTCAATGAAAATCATAGAAACTTTGGTTTGTGCTTTGCACTGATTGTCTTGTAGCCACACAGTCATTATTTTCAACTCATTAGCTTCATTAAACTAACTTCACTTATGATTAGCTCTGTAAATACAGTAACATCATATAGTTTACAAAGATCTGGAACTTTTTTTGAAGCATGAAACATATATTTTAAAGAAAAATTAAATTTCATTCAATGAATGGTAGAATTTCAAGGAGCTAACTTTTAAATGGTTTCAGTCGGTGGTAAGAGATGGAAAGACTGTCCTCTTGTGGATAGGAATATGAGGAAAGTAATACTGTAACTCCCTGATTGCAGCGGTAGCCCTGGGCATTTGGAGTTCCCTTAAGAAATCAGCTAGAATCCCGCCTTGTGCATTGCTCGTAAATTAACACCGGAATGTACAAGATACAATGGGGAGCCTTTTCATTTAAATTGGCTGGCCTGACAGGCAACAGAGGGTAAAGACTGAGCTAACGTAGCATCATTGCTAACACCCATCAGTCCAGGCCACCACCTCAGTCTAACTGCTGCAGACAGCTGCAGTGCTGTCCTCATTTGAAGCAAGCTATTTTGTGAAGAACAGCTTCAGCGTGGAGAAGGGGAGAAGGCTCCACCATAAAAAATGGAAGTCTTACAGTGTGTCTATAAACCAACGTGCTGCCCACATGCATGCGTGTGCCAAAGCTGTGCTGGAGCACCCGTCTATAGGACAAAGCAGCAGCCTTGTCCTCGCTCCTGCAGCCGCGCTGACGGAGGGACCGGAGCAGGACGCTGGCTGGAGACACCCGCCCGTTGCGGCAGATGTTAGGTTATCCGTAAGTGTCACAGATTCCCTGTACACATCGTCACCTCTGATTCGTGAAGAACTACCAGAAGATGCTAGCACTTCATCGTTGCTCACATCAGGGATAATCAACGGTAGCTTCAAATTTCTGTACAGGGAAGCAGAACTTCATGGGGCTGCTGAGACAGCAGGGGATGTTTCTCATAGGAAGTGTTCTGGTTTATGAAGTCCAGCCCTTCCCTCTTGCAGGTGGTTACAGCCTCTTTAACAAATTCTTCTTGTTCCGCCTTTATTAAGATTTTTCTCCCAGCTACCTCAATTGTAAGAATTTTCTGAAGTATCATTAGAAACCTCAAAATTTTTAGCTCAGCCATTATCATGGCCAGTGTACATCTATTCACACTATTAGCCTTTTGTTTAAGCAGCTTTTTTATCCTCCTTATCATTTAATCACTGACAGAGAGTAGTCATATCCCCTCCTAGCCTTTGTTTTGTTGAACTAAACAAGCCACATGCCTGCAACTTTAATGTACAGGACAGGTTCACCAAATGCTTTCATAATGTGATATGCCAGCTGAAAATGTCCTGTAGGGCCAGCTTCTTCCACCAACAGTCATTACAGAATGTATTCAGTCTCATCAATACACAGCTTTTTTCCGTCCCTAATGGAAACATTTTGACTGATGCCTTCTTTGGTAGCATCAGGATTTTTTACAATCACATCTCAGAGGTCACTCCTAAAATGACCAGGTAAGTCAGTATTTGATTTTATCAGTCACTTCCTACTGATTATTTCCCAGTTTGTAGCAGAAATTTTCATTCTTCCAGAAAAGAAGGAAACTGCACTGATCAAGAAACAAGTTGCTGCCATCGTTTGAAGATCTCCTGCCATGAAGTCCTAAAGGTTTGTGGCTAACCAGTCTGATACTGTCAAGCTGAGGTGCAGGTTGGTGTGTGGTTCATAGTGGGGTGATGGGGAAATGAGCCTGAAATAACACTTTGAGATGTCCTGAATTGTGCTAGGTGGAACTCACCAAATCATAAATTGTCTGCCACAAAAAGTGAGTGTGTTACATCTACTGCTCTGTGATACATGAATTGATCGGGGAGTTGCTTGAAAGGTTGGAGATGAAAATGCCAAAACCTGTGGGGGGGTAGTCATTATAGGCCTAGATAGAAGCAACTATTTGTCAATGTCTATTAGAACTTTTACTTCAAATATATTCTGTTTCTAAATTTATGACACTGGATGAGTCTGGTGTGCATATCAGCAAATGGCCAAGTGCCTTATCATTTGGACCATGTGGGATTCTGTTAAAAACATCCAGACACACATGCAGCAAGTCTACACTGTAGATACACGCTTTTTGGTATATTACAGATCACTTTGATTGTCAGATGAGAACAAATCAAAAGTGAAAAAGAAGAAATTCTTAAAATCTGTTTCCTCTGTCTCTGTCTTTAATGCTAGGAAGTAATGAGAAACCCGACTGTTTATTTCTGTACTTCACAGGGGAAGTGTTACAGTGGTTGTGAAAGTTCCCTCTTTCCTTCCTGGTGAAGAAACTTAATGAAAAAAAGCTCGTGTTTTTTGGTTTGGTTTTTTTTTTTTTTTTTTGCGTAATTTCATAACCCCAATTCAGGGCTGTGTCTGAAGCACAGCGTGTGGCAGCCCACCCGGCATCCGCAAGAGGCCTGGGATGGCCCCGCGGCGCAGTCCAGCACGGCGATGGGCGCCAGGGGCTGGCCCCCGGGGTGGCTGTCACCTCAGCGCTCTCGGTGGCCGCCGTGGGAGACCGAAGGCCACAGGCCCGGCCGCGGTGACAGCTCTGGGACTGCTGCGGGCCGCAGCACCAGCTCGCAGCACGGCACTGCCCCGCGTCAACCCTTTGGGCCTCCGTTCTGCTCTTCTTGGCCACCACGGGAATTAAGCTCGACCGGTTTCGTATTTTCAATAGCACGTGGCGCAGATTTCTGGCTGGCGTAATGCCGGCAACATTCAGTCAGGTTGGAGAGAAGAAGCAAAACGCAACAAGACAAAACAATAAAAAAAGCAGGCAGAGACTTTATTCTTCAAAACCGGTTTAAAAAGCCGACCGAGGACCCACGCGGGCCCCCGCCCCGCTGGCCACAGCGGCATCCGGGGCTCCCTCCGGCCCGGCCCGGCCCGGCCCGGCCCACCTGTGCGGGGCGGGGAGCGGGGGGCGGTGGCGGAGATGGCGCCCGGCCCCGGCCCGGCCGCCGACCTCCCCCACGCCGCGGGCGGGGCCGGTGCCCGCTGCCTCGCCGCGGGGCGGCCCCCAGCCCGCCCCGGCCTGCCCGGGCCCGGCTGGCACTCGGCGCCCCCGCCATGGCGGGGCTGGGGCAGGGGCAGGGGCAGGCCGGTGCGGGGAAGCCGCCGCCGCCGCTGCTGGTGAAAATCGTGATGGCCGGGGAGTCCTGCGTGGGGAAAACCTCTATCGTGCGGAGGTACACGGAGCCCGGCTCGCCGCCCGCGGGGGCTCCCACCTCCTCCTACTTGGCCACCATCGGTGAGTGATCGCCGGGCAATCCGGCCCCGCCGCCGCTCTCCCGCTGTCCGCCGGGCGCGCCCGCCAGCCGGCCGCCCCTCAGCGCCCGCGGCCCGGCCGCCGAGCGGGGCCCCGCCGGCCGGTGGCGGCTGCGTGGGCGCGGCCGTGCTCGCCCCACGCCCCGAGGGGCTGGCGGCCTGGTCGCCCGCCGCGCTCCCTCGCCTCATCGTGCCCTGCCCGGGGGGCACTGCTGGGACGCAGCCTTCCCGACCGGCGCTGCAGGGCTTGGGGGTGTCGCATCTCCCCCCTGTTAAGCTGCTGCGGGTGTCCAAGCCGCGCCTGGCAACTTCAGCCTCAGCTGTGGTCGGCCAGGGTGCCGGGAAACACGTCGCCCTGGCTCTAGAACCGCTTTGTGCCAGCTGCTACACTGTTCTTGCTGTTTGTCCCGGGCATTTGGAGCCTACTCTTTTTTTAAACTTAGGAAGACAACTTATTTCTTATTGCCCATGACTCCAGACAGAGGACCTGTTGCTGTACACTGGTGTGGGTGTGGAGAAGAAGATACCTACCTCAGAGAGTTTTCAGACATCAGTAAAAAGCCCAGTTCTTCCATCTTTCACGCTAGAAAGCATTTGACTTGGTGCTAATGATTTTAACGCTATAAAGGCAAGATAGCTTCTCCTGTAGGTAGCCGCATGTGTGATTATTAAAGCAGAGCCATTGCTGTGATGGAAATAACCAGCCCTGCTGCACCAAGGCAGTTTTGTGCTGCACCGCCACGCTGCCTTCCCCCGCAGCTCTGCGGGTGGGGGGTGATGGGGAGCTCCCCGCTGCCGTGGTACGCCAGCCCCACGGTGCCACGGGGAGCAGCAGGTTGGCTGGCCACGTGCTGATAACCAGGTCATCCGCATGAAAATGTGCGACATGGGTGCAGTGGTTTGGAAATTTTCCCAGTTTCTGATGGAGAAATGTTCATTTTTAAAAGTTTGTGTGCATGTAAGATTTTTTTTTTCTTGTTTTCTGTCCTCTCGAAAGTTAAAAGTATGCACAAGAAGGTGTGTGTTCCTGCATTTGGAATATGCATGGCTCTTTTATACATTTTTTAGTGTGTGAGGAGTTGGCTTAACTGAATAGATAATGGGTAGTAGCTGTGGCAGCAGCTGGTCCAGAGAATACTTAATATAAGTGAGTGAGATGACTTGACCTGCCCACATGAGAATGGCTGAACTTAAACCACTTTTTCTTTTCTTGACTGTTCTTGCAAAGCAGCTTCTGAAACCCACAGGAACAGAAAGGGAAGAACACAACGAGCAGTAAAGTTGTGAAATCAATCCTTGTAACAGGCAACTTGTTACCAGGCTTTGCAAGGAGTCCCGGAGAAAATAAACATCAGCTTTATTGATGCATTTTATATTGGAACATAGATTCCTGACTGTGGGGTTATTTTGAGACACAGTTTCTTTTAATTCAGTCCACTGCAGAGTCAAAAACTCTTGTATGGTGATGAAATTAAGAATATATTTTCTAAGTTGTGGGTTGAAATAGTTTAAGGAATAGTTAGGATAAAAGAGTTTTGTGGCAGTTATGGGCTGAGATTAAGCTTATTAATTTTATTACTGTTCCCGAAACCTATTCTTGAGAGATATAAAAACTTTTTAAACAAATATTTATCAGAAATGTAAAAGAATCATCCAAATATGGTATTTGTTATCTGAATGTGATTTTTAAAGTTATTTCTGAAATACTGTATGCCATTTAATTCTATTTTAGGAGGTGTATTAGAGCTTAGACTTTTAAAGCAAGTGGCATTGTGCGTGATGGCTTCGAAAAGAGTAATGTTGGAAGTTTTTTTTTTCACGAAGACAGTTGCAACCGTGAATATGGCCTATAGGTCCTGGCCTGTAACACTGTAAAGGAAGAAGACACAATGCAATATTTTTTCTGTTCATGATGTCATCTCCCTCTTTGTTGACACCATCAAAACAAATAACTGTTTTCATTTGGATACTTGTTTCATACAAGCTCAGTCAAATGATCCTTATCAGTCATACGGCCTATTGAATGCTCATCTGGTATTAATTGATTTTTCACCCTACCTGTCCAGCTGGAATGGTGGTTCGAGTAGAGGGAAGAGTATCCAAGCTGTGGAGCCTCTCAGCCATCTGAGTTCCCTGACAAAATCATGTGCCATCACCTTCCTTAGTGGCAGAGGGTCATAGGCACAGAAGTTAAAAGGTTGTTGAAAGTCTCATTTTTGTGTCATCATGAATCACAGGTTTGTGTTACTAGGAAAAATCATAGTGTAATTGCTGGGGGAAAAAAGAGACCTAAACATTTTGTTGTAGGTTCCAGTAGTAGTGAGCTTTTCTAAATTAGGTATTTTATGAAAAAACAAACAAACAAACAAACAAAAAAAAAAAAACAAAAACAAACCAAACACCAAAAATGTATCCACAGTAAATTTTCATTGAAAGCTTTTTATGAAGCACTTAGGCACTCAAGGCTGGGTGCCCTTCCTCCTCTTCAATTATGCAGTTTGGGTAAATTATAAGCAGTTATAGTTTTCTAATTAAACTTATACGCATCATAAGGCAGTTGCATTGTATTATGAATAGACTATAAAGAATAAATGTTTTTGTTTAAACAATGGCATTGCATATAAAGCCATAGAGAAAGTTTATGAACAGAAAAACCCGTTGTATACAAAGTGAGCAGGACTGTGATCTCACAGGCGATGAGGCTGTTACTTTGCTGTATTACAGTGGCTGTGGTCCTTCAGCACAGATGTTTTCTGTGAGAAACATTTCTGTAGAGGTGCGAGTCCGCCCAAATCTGTCATGGTTGAAAGTGGTGCAACTCCCACTTTTAAGTTTAAAAAACCCAAAAAAGTTACTTATTTTTACTTTTTCCTCAAAAGAAAACTTTTGTTCTGTAATGCTTATATTAAAAAAAAAAAAAAAAATTGGCATTACAAATTCAAGTGATTTATGCATTTGTTTCTAATGTGCCATGAATAAGAGAACCAGTTCTGAAGTCTGTGTAGATTCCCTGATACTCACTTTAGAAAGAAATAAAATAGACTTAATCAACAAAAATAAACCATGTGGAAGGTAAACATGTCCTGCGTTAACACCACTAGTAGTAATCTGCATCTTAATTCTTTTTTCCTTTTTTAACAAGGCAGGATTTTTTTGGTCACTCTTCCTTTCCTAACAAACTGTCTTAACCCATGAATTGCTTTTCTTATCAAAGCAGTAATTATCAGTACTTGTGACCGCTCCGATATCACTCCACTTCAGATATTCTTTGCCAGGTACGGGAAAAGACCCTGATTAAAGTAATGGACCAACAGCTAGTAAGAGTTAAGTATGGGTAGGAGTAACACGGTGAAAACTCAACCCACAACGTCTCATTGGGCACTTGCCCAGCTTGGGCACAGGAGTTGATACCGAATGCTTCCCAGTTTCCAGAGTTGAAGACGCTGTATGACAGTGAGCTAGGTAGAACCTGCACCTGGGCACGTACCACCCTCTGTGTGTGCTGTCACTGTTGCATCCTGCTAAGCTGCTCAAACTCACGTTTTCTCTGGACAGACAGATGGTTTTGAGCCTTTTCTGTCAGGAACCTGCCAGCTGTGTCAGGGTGAAAAGTGTGTTGTAATTTTCTAGGCCAGCTGCAAAAGATGTCTTTGAAGAGGACTTTTGCAGATGGCCAAAGACTATTTTATAGGTACTGAGGGGAGAGAAGGGCAATTCACAGCTGAATTCCCCCGTGGCTGACTATTTTCATGCTTTTTAGACGTAATTGTCTTTAAGGTGCCTCAGTCCTAGTATGGGCATATTTATTATTTGGAATATAAAGAAAATAAATTAATCACATGGCTATAAAACTTGGAAATAACAACTAGAATTTGAACTTGTACCCGTCATAGCTCTTCTCAGTTTTATTTGACAGCTTAAAAGAAGAAAGTACAAGCTGTTGCATTCAAATAACATTTATCTCAAGAACGGTAATCAATGCTTGTTTTGTTATGTTGATCATGTTGTATAATACGTGGACCTAAAACCATCTGAAATCTGTGAGCTGTCTTTGGCATTGTATTTCTCATTTTTCTTTTCTGTCTTTCCAATTTGCTAAGTTTGCTGGAAATTTCATATAAAGACATGAACAATTCATGCATACAGAACATATTGACTTCTGTTTTTCACTAACATTCATTGACCTTTTAGGTCAATAAATTTTGAAGTTGACTTAAGAAGTCAATAAGCCTTATTTTAATTTAGATTAAGTTTTAGTCTGATTCAGCACTCTGCTTCCCTTTTTATAAATAAAAAAAAGCTTATAGCAATTTATTATTAAAATGTATGTCATCTAAGAAGTGTTTCCTATAGGTCTGGGAACCCCTGGCTGGATTATCATTTTTTGCTGTATTCCCAACCCACCATGTGAAAGTGACATTCCAGCCTCCCAGTGCATAATCTGTCCCTCTCAACTGTTCTAACATCAATTGTAGAAAGTGATACAGATAATTAAACAGAATCATGTGAATTTCAGGAGCAAATGTTTTTCATCACGTTGGAATTTCACCTTACATGAGCAAATTTGACTTAAATTACATTTCCACCTGATATTATTAATATTACACAACGCTTCCTTGATGGAATTAATTACAGATACCAATTATGTTATTTCATCTTTCCTTTCCATTGGAGCTTCAATAAAAATTCATCAAGTGAAGGACATGATTATCATAATAATTTTAAAAATCCATCTAAACTCTTACCACAAATACCTGAAAAATGTTAATAGCATTGGAATCATGCATGTGAGAGTGTACTCATCAAAGTTTTGCACACAATACATCAGTACAAAGGAAGGGAGCATTTCCTCTACTGCATTTTTGGTTTACTGCCATGGATGCTTTCCTTTGATAAAGTAATTTGGCAGACAGGTTCTCGCAGAAATCAGTGCAGTGGTATTAACTTAAAGTTTTTGTTCTTTTTTCAAATTGTTCGGTGCTTACAGATGACCTTTTTACTGATGAAAAGTCACTCTGAAGTCACATTAAGTAGCCATTTTTTGACCGTATGGAATTTTGGCCATGCAGTATGGCCAGCTATCGCAATGTCACCTTAACTTCACAATATAATTGACAAAGGTAGCCTTACTGTTTTTTACTGGGGGGGGGGGGGGGGGGGGGGGGAATGAGCAGAGAAATTATCAAAGGGTATTTCAAATTTCAGCAATAAAGTAAAAAAAAAAAAGGTTAACTGTGAGGAAATGCGTCACTCTAAGATAGCAGCTGATAGCTGGCAGATTGTAATATTAAGATTGGGGCTTCCACAACTGATAAATCCGGGTATCACCTACCATGTTTGGAGTACTCATAATATAATAAAGGAAAACACTATAAGTTATAAGGAAAGTATCTTTGAGGAAAATTCTGTAGCGTATGTAGAGACAACATTCTGCACTGATTTCAGGTGCCAATGCTTGATTTTGCATTAGCACTCTGGATCTGGGATACACAGTGATTAAGGCTATAGAGGCAATCCTCTTTATTTTGAATTAAATCCGGTGTATGTTTGTCTTTGCATTTAACTAGTACATCTAATTCCTGTTCTTGTAACCCTGGATTTTTTTTTAGGGATTTGGAAGCAAGGACAGAAAAATGGTGTTGCACATGCAACAGCTTTGTAAGCATTTCTATCTCCCCATTCGTAGCTGCCACACTGTTGTGATGAAATGGGAAACAACTGAAATCACCAATATATTTGCCAAGTAATACTGTGCACAGGCCATGAGACTGCTGTCATGTCACTTGCCTATTCATGGAAATACCTACATGTAGTTTCAGAGTATGTGCACCTTTGCTTTGACCTGCCCCTCCATTGCTCTGTATTGGCATTCCTTTGTATTGTATTTGTGTAATGTACTGGCAGATAGTGGTGTTCACCACTGAATAATTCCCTTTTACAACTTCCGTTTTGAATGCGTATGGTTGGCTGGTTATTCTTTGTTTGATACAGTTCCTTTTCACTTTCTGTTCAAAACTGCATGATAACTAGAGCTAAGAAACAGTCTTCAAAAGGAATCCATGTTATTGTGAGAAATGTTACAGGCTTTCCTCTTTCTTCTAGGCATTGATTTTAAAGTAAAGCCAGTAACGTTTAATGGTACAAGAGTGAAACTTCAAATATGGTAAGTTTTAATTTATATCACAACTGAGAGCCAACTAAATTACATTACAGCATGAAAAATCTCATCTGCTTTTAATTGCATGTCTTCCTAAAGTGCAATTGTTCCTACTAGGTCATTTTAAAATTTTAATTTGACTTAGGGGAGCATGTTTTTTGCAGCAATTAATGTAAGTTGTTGTGGTTTGAGCTCAGAGGGCAACAGAGCACCACGCAGCTGCTCACTTCTCCCTTCTCTCCCAGTGATGAGAAGGGACAAATAAGCCAGGCTTGGGATTTGAGATAGGACAGGGAGGGGCAAATCGCCCTTTATGGTCACGGGCAAAAGGCAGACTCGTTAGGGGAAGAAAAAAAGAACATACCTAACAACAACACTTAACAGAGTAGGGCAGTGAGAAGCATTGCCACATCTTGAGAACACCTTCCCCCAACCCGTCCCTTCTCCCCGGGCTCAGCTCTGCTCCCGATATCTCTACCTCCTCCCCCAGTGGCACAGGGGCAGGGAATGGGGGGTGCAGTCAGTGCTGCTGCTTCTTCCATCTTTGGTGGGGGGAGCTTTTGGAACTTGCTCCCCCTGCTCCATCGTGGTCCTCCTCTCACAGGAGACAGTCCTCCACAAACCCTCTCCAATGTGAGTCCCTCCCACAGGCCGCAGCGTTCCCCACACTGCTCCGTCGTGGGTCGCCAACATTCTCCGACTGGATTCCCTCCCACGACTGCAGCCCTTCCCGAGCTGCTCCGGCGTGGGACTCCCCCGCATGCTGCAATCCTCTCAGTGCTGAATTACTACGGTGGGGGCTATTTTTTCCCACAAGATCCTGGCCTTCTTCGGGCACAGTCATGTTGATCATCCATGCAAAACAGCTCACAGGCCATAAATCAGTGTCTGGTCCACTACAGATTGCCATGGGTGGCGGGGGGGGCTGCCCTGCTGTCTCCCCACAGGATACAGGGGGGTCTCTGGTCTGGCACACCTCCCCCCTCCTTTCTTCTTCTGTTCCTCCACTGACCTTGGTGTTCACGCAGCTGCAGCAACTCCTCCTCACAAGTCCCACTGCTCCTCACCACGTCCCTTCTTAAATACGTTATCGCAGAGGCGCAGCTGATGGGCTCAGTTTTGGTGCAGAGGTGGAGCTGACTTGGGGCTGGGGGAGCTTTGAGAAGCTTCTCACAGAGGGCCACCTCTATAGCCTCTTCCCTTGCTATCAAAAACAACCCCACCATCCTGACCTAGGACAAAATTAAAAAGAGGGTTGTCATTAGGTTGCTTTAACAATAAAAGTTTGCTGTTGCAGCATACAAACAGGGCAGCTCTACAATCATATTAAGTATATTTAATTGTATAGGAACATTGAGGGAAGTGACAAAAGAGTAAAATTTTGCATTTCATTACCCATCAAATGCATGTTCAAAAGGGTCACTGAGAGAAAGCTAGTAAGATGAATATTTGGGAACATATGCTCAATTTTTTGATTTTTCAAGGTTTTTCTAAAGGCTGTGTAGGGCTGCTGACCGCCATCTCTCCAGGCATCCAATATGGAGGGTTATCTATATTTACCAGTATTTAACTTCTCAATAAGTAACTGTATATGATTTATCCAGTATTAGACCAGTACCAGATCAGCAGTTACCCCATCTCACGTTGTAATACAAAAGTCCTGGAGGCTTGTTTACTGCTTTCTTAAGGCATACTTATGTGTAGGAATCTCTGCATCCCTGTATTTTATGGCTTTTTCCCAAAACCTACCTTTGATCTAAACCAGTTTACTGACTGTGTCACAGTTTACAAGTGCTTGTACTCCAGATTTTTTTTTAATCACCTGAGTTGTACTGATCTTAATGATTAACTGTATATAAAGAGGCAATGATGGGCTTGAAGTTACACTCAAACTTCAGCCACTGGTTTAGCTTCTCTAATAGGGCTGTGTTATTCAGAATAAATTTCCAGTGTATTTCTTTCACTGCTGTATCTGGCATCCAGATTTTCTCTCATCTTTTCTTGTTACTTTCATGTTCGTATACACCGTTCAAAATTTGTAGACTACTCCTTAAAATAAAGTGATTTTTTTTCTTGGGGTTCTGCAGTTTGATCATCTTTTTTTTTGGTTTTGGTTTGTTGTTTTGTTTTTGTTTTTTTTTTTTTTTGGTTGGTTGGTTGGTTTCTTTTTTGGTGTGTGTGTGATTTCTTGTAATTTCTTTCAGGGATACTGCTGGCCAGGAACGTTTCCATACACTCAGTACTAGCTATTTCCGTGGTGCACAAGGCTTTGTTCTTGTATATGACATTACAAATCTGGACAGTTTTCAAGGTATAACAAGCTGGATGAAAGACATACATGAGGTAAGTATATCCAACACTGGTTGATCTCTTACTGAAGGTAGTTAATGAGTTACTGCTGTTAATGTTTTAAATGACTGCATGAGATTTATTCTTGTTCCTTGAATTTTGGTTTTTAACCAGAATTTCTTATATTTAACTCAGCACACAATATGATAGTAGTATTACAGTTATCTGAAACTGAAATACATCGTGGATTATCCAGGAGAAGCCTATGGTGATGCAGGAGTGTTTTCTGAAGTACTTTTAAAACAAGGCTTCCAATCAGGTTTTGCACATGGTGCTTTTGTCAATGGTGTGGCTACACAAGCCAGGCTCCATGAGCTCATCCCAGGATTTTAATTGTCTTTCATGTCAAAATTACATATCACAATCAGTGATTTCCCTTTCTTAATTTCATTATTTTAGTGTAGTTATCTCATCCCAAGAATCCAAAGAAACAAATCAGACGAAACATCCTCTTCATCCTTGCTGGAAACCATGTCCCTAAGTGCCACATCTATGCATCTTTTAAATACCTCCAGGGATGGTGACTCAGCCACTTCCCTGGGCAGCCTGTTCCAATGCTTGACAACCCTTTTGGTGAAGAAATTTTCCCCAGTATCCAACCTAAACCTCCCCTGGTGCAACTTGAGGCCATTTCCGCTCGTCCTATCACTTGTTACTTGGGAGAAGAGACCAACACCCACCTTGCTACAACTCCTCTCCAGGCTAAACCACCCCAGTTCCCTCAGCCGCTCCTCACAGGATTTGTGCTCTAGACCCTTCACCAGCTTTGTTGCGCTGCTTTGGATAAGCTCCAGCACCTCAGTGTCTTTCTTCTAGTGAGGGGCCCAAAACTGAACACAGTATTCGATGTGCAGCCTCACCAGGGCTGAGTACAGGGGGACGATCCCTTCCCTAGTCCTGCTGGCCACACTATTGCTGACACAAGCCAGGGTGCCACTGGCCCCCTTGGCCACCTGGGCACACTGCTGGCTCGTATTCAGCCAGCTGTCAGCCAACACCCCCAGGTCCTTTTCCGCTGGGCAGCTCTCCAGCCGCTCTGCCCCAAGCCTGTAGCGTTGCAGGGGGTTGTTGTGACCCAGGTGCAGGACCCGGCACTTGCTCTTGTTGAACCTCATACAGTTGGCCTCGGCCCATCGATCCAGCCGGTCCAGATCCCTCTGTAGATCCTTCTTTCTCTCGAGCAGATCAACACTGCCGCCCAACTTGGTGTAGTCTGCAAACTTACTGAGGGTGCACCTGATCCCCTCATCCGGATCATCGATAAAGATATTAAACAGAACTGGCCCCAGTGATGAGCCCTGGGGAAAACCACTTGTGACCGGCCGCCAACTGGATCCATTTCCATTCACCACAACTCTTTGGGCCCAGCCATCCAGCCAGCTTTTCACCAGCAGAGAGTACATCCATCCAAGCCATGATAAGTTAGTTACTCCAGGATAATGCTGTGGGAGAAACTGGGGAAGGGAAAAGAGGATCCCTTTTTGGTGGTAGTGAGGTGTCAGTCAGTTCAGCTGCTTGCGGTACTGCAGCCAGAGGCATGTGCTTTCATGTGACGCAGGAACTGATTCAGCAGCACATGGCTGCCAGACAGGGAGTCTGTTCCACCTCCCCTCCTGCTTCTGAACATTGGCTCCCACTGTGCTGCTTCTGGAGCTTGTCAGAGCCCTCTGAGGTTCACTCTGACTTTCTAATACAGTAGAAAACTAACACAGCAAAACCAGTTGGATGGTTTTCTGGTGCATCAGTGAGTCTTAAGAGGTACACAGGGAGGTCTGACAGTTATTGGAGTTGGTGCAAGGTAAGCAGGTAGGAGTAGAAAAGCCAGGAGAAGAACGTGTGGGAACAATGTGAGGAAGGAACCAGGGAGGGAGGTGTGGGCAAGCCCATAGACATCAGATCATTCAGCTGCCCGTAACCCTGTACCCTGAGCCTTTATTGCTATGTCTCTCTTGATGTGTTCTCTGTTAAGTAGAGGCAGGTCGGTTTTAGAACAGAATAGTTCAGCTGGAAGGGACCTAAAATGATCATCCAGTCCAGCTGCTTGACCACTTCAGGGCTGGCCAAAAGTTAAAAGCATATTATTAGGGCATTGTCCCAATGCCTTTTAAACACTGACAGGCTTGGGACATTGACCACCTCTCTAGGAAGCCTGTTCCAGTGTCTGACCACCCTCTCAGTAAAGAAATGCTTCCTAATGTCCAGTCTAAAGCTCCCATGGTGCAGCTGTGAACCATTCTCCCAAGTCCTATCACTGGATACCAGGCAGAAGAGATCAGCACCTCCCTTTCCACTTCCCCTCCTCAGGAAGCTTCAGAGACCACTGAGGTTGCCCTAAGCAGTAACATGGAAGTTTGTAGTTAGCATACTTGTATAAGCTAGTATGCTTGTTTAAGAATCCAAGCAAGATTGTCCTCTTTGTTGATAAAAATCGAGTAAACATTCAGGCAGTTTCTGTAATACTCTGTAAATTGATAGGAACATGACGTGATGAACATGACAGGAGAGTTCATCTTGGGCAAGCGGGCTTAAAATAAAACCATCAAATGTGTCCTTTTCTCTCTTCACAGCTTCAGTATATGGATGAATTAATGAACTACACATGGTCATATATCCAATAATATATACAAAGAATATCTTACACTGTTGGTTAAGCAATATTTACAATACCTCAGTATTAAGAACATTATGCCGGGACCTAGCACATCATTATCCTTGACCTTAGAGCCATCTCAGCATCTTAGTGGCAACAGAGCCTAACTTCAGTAATGTGTTACAAAGAAGGTTTGATGATAAAGTGTTCTTACTGGCTCATCTGCACACACCTCAAACTAATACACGTTTTATTAATTTGTTAAGAAAAGAGTGTTCCCTTCTCCTGTTGGGCACACCAACAAAAGTTACAGCTAGGTTGTTGCTGGTGGTACAGTTTGATGATCAGCAGATATTTAACTCAACGTGCAGTATGATAGTAGGTTTACTGTTATCTGAAGCTGAAAATTTAGATTATCCATGTATATATAATTTTTTATGTATATAAATACATACATATCAACATGTGCATTTATCTATCTATCGATCAATCTATGTGTATATGTTTTTACAAATATATATAAAATAACAACCTACCTTCATACTGCCTTCAGAGGGGTCATTTTGTCCTGTCGTCTTTAATTACGTCAACAGTATGCTTGATTCAGTGGGCTACAATGCACAACCACAAACCCAAAGAAGGTATTGGGACCATGTGGCTGGAAGTGGAAGGAAGAATGGGACTAGCTCTTGTAGCCACTGTGCCGTCTTGGAGCTGCTTAAGTCAGTCAGGAAGCCCTGCATAAGTCAGGAGCTTGCTTTCTGTTCGTGACGCTTAAAAGGTCTTGTGTAAACATACACAAGCTATTAATATTTAGATTGTTTAATCTTAACCCCCGAAAGTACTTTGTTAGTTTAATATTTAAAAAATTGAAAAAAACCTCAATTTAAAACAGTTTCTAGAAATGTAAATTGCATAATTGATTGTACCAATCTCAAAACTAGCAATTAGTGAGTGTTGTAATAGAGCTAGATAATAATAAAAAGTTTAATTTAGTCCTAGTGGGATATCAATTTCTTAAGTGTCTTGGTGAAAATATATGGGGCCATTCATTGCAAAAGAAGTGTTTTTAAGCAATAACTGCAAAAACACAGGGCATTTCATGAAAATTAATTGCTTACTTGTATGTTGGTGACATTCCCTGCATTTGCTTTGGTGGGTGCATGGAAACCAGTATTTAATTCCCCACAAATGCCCAGTATCAAAGTGGCTCTTGCTACAGCACCCTTCAAAATCTGCAAGTGTAGACATTAAAAAAAAAAAAACAAAACAGAGAAACAGATACAGGTTTCATTAAACACCAGACTAATAGGTAATGTAAAGTTTGCACCTGAACAAATCAAACCAGAATTTTGAGTCAATTCAGTTATTACATTATGTTTTCATTTTTGAATTCTATGTACATAGAGATTTTAAACAGATTTTTTTAAAAAAATCTGTTCAGTGTGCTCAGCCGTTTTTACAACAGTTGAAAATAACAATCTAAGCAATTTAGCATTCCTAAAAACTCCATTGATTTTATAAAAACTAGCCACTCAGTGCTATTACAATCAGATTACCAGTAATGTTCTGATTGTATTTCAATTATTTTAAGTGTGGAACACAGAAACTTTCCTATTAAAAATGAGTTATTGTTCAAGGAAGTTCAAGACATTAATACGATGCCATATCTGTATAGTTGGATTATTTGTATTCAGAACTAGAGGAAATAGGTACATGGCTGTACTTAAAGAGCTTACTAGAAAAATATACTCACAGATTAATAACTTAAAACATTATTGGCAAATCCAATACAGGTATATTGGGTTTATAACGCTCTCATTAGGAGCATGGTAATTGCAAGAATTACTTCAGAACCGGAAACCATTCATTCTTTGTAGGATTGTGGGTGATGTCCAATTTGTTAAGGTGTTCCTCTTATCTGCTGACATGGCTTTCTGCTGTTGTATGCAACTGTTCTGAAAAGCTGATGGTTTTTGGCCTTTAAAAATTAAATACAAGTAACCATGTACCAAATCCATTTGCAGAGAACGGTTCTTTCCAGGGTGTTTTGAACAAGATTCCAACTAATATATGAGCAAAAAGCTCCTCAAAATAGGTCAGATGCTCAAACTGATGCTCACAAAGGATCTGGAGATACTTAAAACTCTAAATTTCAACAGGGTTGTGGGTAACCTGACCTGACTTCGAAGTTTGCCCTTCTGTGAGCAGGGGGTTAGACCAGATGACTCGTGGAAGTCCTTGCCAACCTAATTCAGTCCATGATTCACGCATGGCATCTGGATCTCCAAAAGCTTTTGACATAGATGGTTGGCCCTAGTTTTCTTTTAAATACATTGTAATGTTTTTCATTGTGCTAGTTTCCTGGTGTGGCATGAAGATGGCATTTACCAGGTCCTAATGATTATCTGCTGGAAATTCTCTGCTAGCACAGAATTTTTCACATGGGGCAGATAGATTAATTTTCTCATGCAGTGGCAAGTATTGGTGACATAATTTAGGGTTCTTGGAATATACTAGCTTTCTATTTATGCTGCCTGAAAGAAGTGACTCCTTAACCAGCATATTAAATGTAAGGCTGTGTTGGGTTACTGCTATCTTTTCGTAGTGCCCTCTTCTGGTCCTGTGCATTAGATGCCTCTGAGAGTTGGAAACCTGGACTGTTCAGTGTTTCTGCATCGTACTTTAATAAAAGCACCGTAGCAAAATGCTTTACAGATGTAAATTAGCTTGTCTTCAAACTCATCTGGGTTTTTTCTTAGATGGGAAAGTTTGGTGCCAGAAGGATTGAATTGTTTCAGTTCGTAGATGAGTTTGTTGTTACAACTCTGATTAGAACTGGAAAATCTTGTTCTTGTCACTCTGCTAAATTGGTTTATCTCTAAACCTAGACAAGTTTGAGGATAAATTGGCTTATATCTAATCAAGTCTAAGTTTGCCAACAGACAGATTCAGTCATTTGTACAATTCCACTGTATTCCTGGAAACTAGGCATTTGTAACTGAGGTTATCATCTGGCACTTAGAAAAATATATGAAAAGAGGCGTATGTATAGGACTCATAATATGAGCATTGACCCTGTGATGCTGTCAAGGAGATTGTGGGGACAGTGTATTCTGAACAAGTTATTCTTAATACAGAGGATCAGTTTCTAGTGTCATTGATGAATAGGAGGAAGAAACTTTCCAGCTTTACGGCCTTCCCAAGCTCTGCCTTCATCTTGCTGCATGACCATCCATATTTCTGTCTCCTCTTCAGATCTGAAAAATTGTATGAGTGGTACATTTCTTCCTCAAATACAAGCCAATTAAGCATTACCATAGTGTAATCATCAGATCTGCATTCTTGATTTCACTGTTTTGACTTGCAAACAAACTTCTGTTCCCTTTTCAAACTGTAGTCAGTATCAAAATGATGCGGGTCCTGCACAGCTACGCTCTGGAAATGTGGGGGGGGATAAGGTGGTGGTTCTGGATAGGTAGCTTTATACAACAAGGAGTCTGGATGAGCTTTGTGTAATCATGCTCAGTTTGCTACAGGGAGAGTTGAGGCCAGCCATTCACGGTAGCACCTGCAGGTAACTCACAACCTAAAAAGTGAGGGGATAGTTTCTCCCAGTAACCTGTAAGTACAAATGTGACGTAGTTCTCTTTCGGTAAAGGTGTCTCTGCTATTTTTGACACATAAATTCACAGCACTTCTCTGAAATAGTTTTCCCTGCGAAGTGAGAACAATTGCAGGAAAAAAAAAAAAAAAAGACCTAACGTTGGGGAGGAAAAAAGAATTACATACAAAAGGGATGAGCAGGAGACTTCCTCTTTTGCATTCTTGATTTCTGATAATAGCCACATAGTCAAGAAGTTGGGCGCTTACCTGGTTGGGTGCACGGGCTAGGTGAGAGCTGAGCAGTGCTGGAGTTAGCTCAGGGTGAGGGTGGCTGGCTCCTGTCACGGCAGGCTGCCGAAGCGCTCCATGGCGTTGGGCGTGCGAGGCCGGTGTGCCTTGTCCTGTCCCTGGCACTGCGGGTTTGAGGCCCTGGCATTGCTGCCTCCTGTGGCTACCAGTCACGGCAGCCTGGCTACTGCCACCACCAGCTGCAGCTGCCAGGGAATCCAGCAGAGGGGAAAAAAACTTTTTACTGAAACGTGATGACTCCACACTCTTCAAAAAAACTTGGTCAGTCTCAAATGAGAGAAATACCGTGCTGATATTTGCTCTTTGGATGTTTAAAAAAAAAGTAGTCTAAGTTTTCTCCAAGTTCAGATTATTTTAAGTTTCAGTAAAATGTGAACTTTGAAATGTTAAAACGAGAAGAAAAACTTCAGAGAGTGAACCAAAAATCTGGATGTATTTTTGAGACACCAAAGCAAAATATTTTTTTTTCTTACTTCTCGGAGAAAAAAAGAAAAAAGTTCTTTTTGCCTGGATTAAATTGATGAAATTTTTAATAGTATTTTTCCATGACATGGGAGACAAATGTTTCCTGGCTCTATTAGCTTAGTCAGTGCTGACTTGCATAATAGCATCTTAACAACTGTAAAATAACTATCCTCTTTTTAGCCATAGATTTTGCATTTGGAAAGCTTATTCCTAAGCTATAAATAAAAGGATGAAAATATGCAGTGAGCTTTTGGAAGCACTGAAGAGCCATATTTTTGGCAAATTCAAATCAGTGTACCTCTGCAGTTTTTATGCCAACTGAGCACATGGTCAAACTTCTGCCTAGTCATATTGACTTAATTTTTTTTAAGACTTCATCTGTATAATCAGGTTTCAGAATTTAAAATGGACATAATTTGGCGTATATTCTTTAGTTTGCTGAAAGCAAGAAACTGCAAGATACCATCTTTAAAAAAAAGGAGTACTTGCAGTCCTTTGGTGGAGGATCCAGTCAAAGTGGAAATACATTATTATATTGTATTAATGTAGAACTAATAGTTATTTGCTGAAATAAATATTTTCTGGCTTGTTATCTCTAACCTCCTTTAAATTTTGTTACTATTTGAAGCTGTTTGGAAAGAACACTCCCACTCTGAAAATTTGTGCAGTTTGTAAAGAAGTATATCTACTGGATGGATTTCATGGTTTTGTAGAGAAAATGTGTTAGTATTTCCCTTTGACCTTTTACTTAAGAGTAAAGTCAAATGTCACTTGTAAAACCTTCAGCTACATACAGTCTTAAAAAGTTGGTTATGTGATGAGATTAAATTGTCTATTTACCCTATTTTAGGGACTGATGTATGTAATTTGATGTAGGAGAACCATTGACCTTAATGAGTAAAGCTTCAGTGCATTCTAAAACAGCCAACATTTTGGTCTATTAATCCAGGTTAGATTGATTCATTATTTTAGGCCTGTACTTTGTACTATTACGATGAACTTACTTCATTTTAATACTACATTATCTTGAACATCAGCTGTGGGTATGAAATGAGATTAGCTGACTCTAAAATGAGAGTGGATTTAAAAAAATGAAATAGTATTCCTTAATAATAAATTGTGCCTACTTCCGTACTCTTCGGATGAGGCAACTTAGTTGTAAAAGTGCATATAGACTAAAAATAATGATTCTCTCATCCTTTAATGAATAGAGGTTTTTCTCTGCATTTCCCTGAAGGGAGGGATATGCGTCTGTGTGCACGTGTGTGAGGTCTGGGGAAGATGATTGTATGGGCCTGGTTTTGTCTTACAGCAAAGTTATAAAAACTAAGACTTTGACAGAGGTCAGAGATTCATCAATGTCCTCATAGAGAGACCTGCAGCTTGCAACCAGGCTTTTTGAGGCATCAGAGAAGCTATGTGAGCATGTACTTTCAGAATATAAACTACGGGAACAGACAGTGTTAGCTTTAATTATCTCTAGATTGAGACAATCAGGTTCCTCCTTTTAAGCATCAAAAGTGGTTTTAAATATTATGATATTCACAATGAATGTCAGTTTTAAAATTCCACATGCTGTTGCAGAACTGTTCTCTTTCTTTGTCATTATTCCAGTCATGTATAGTTACAGTGGTTTATCTTAAAATAACACTGATGTAAAGCACCCGATGCATTTCAAAGTCACCATGTATGTAGCTGCATTAGTGGAACAATGGATAGAGACAAGGTCAAAGAGCTAGATTTTTCTTCCTTTTGAAATCAATGAGGTTTTAAAATTTTATTTCATTAAAAATCTATTGCCTTCTTCCAAGTGTCTTGGAATAATCAAACTTTTATGTTGAGTTTGAACACTTTGAATGTAATTTTACTGTCTGTGTGCAAAAGTGAAGCACAGAGAGGTGCTCTTTCAGGTGCAGCAAATTCCTTCTTTTTCGCTTGTGAGTGCTGGATGTAGACCAGATTAATATGCTGATCCATGAACCCATTACTTTAGGGGGGACAGTGTCTGAATTCGGGGCATTTCCAGTCACTTTAAAGCCTCAAGATGGAGCATTCATCAGAAGATGGTGCCCATGCACCATATACTTTATGTCTCATGAAAGTGATTGCAAATTAAGCCTTGCACTTGTAAGCTGCTTTTTTTCTGCTCTTCGCAATTTTGCTGTTTTCCTCCAAGTCCCAGTAACTGGTGGAAAATATTTCCACAGATGAAAAGCTCAGGACAGAATTTAGCCTTTACTTTCAAGGAAATAAAGCGTGGAAGGTTAGTGTGAGTTGAATGTAAGGGCTTTTGTTGTTTGCTTTTTTCTTACTTGACACTTACTAATGCTGGTTCTCTTTTAGAAAGCAGGTGATGAAGTGGACGTAATACTGTTGGGCAACAAGTGTGATAAGGAGTCAGAACGTGTAGTTCCAAAACAGAAAGGAGAAAAGGTATCATTGATCACTGTACTTTCTTTGGGTTCTCCTGAGTATCTTAGTATGTGACTGTGAGCTATTAAACTGAAAATGATAAAAAGCTCTTGAATTCCAAAAATTCTATTAGGAATTGCTCCAGAACAGTTGTGGAGTTCTGGAGTGGTTGGGTTTTTTTTAACATACAAGCAGAAATGCATTAAGTAACTCCTAGCTGATCTCTTTAGAATACTGATTTTAAAGGTTAAAATGTACTTTAAAAGCTTTAGACATTACAATAGCAATCTTGCATTTTGAATTGAAATTAAAGATATTTTAGGGTCTGCATTTTCAGAGTACTGTTTTAATGTGAGATTCTAAAATACAATGCATGATGCATTCTGCATATTTTTTCTGATGCCTGATGTACCCATCAGTGATTTTTTTGCTACAGCCTGACTGTAAAGAACTATTCTGGCAGGCCATGCACTGTCATCTGCATTGTCTTTGAACAGCCCTAAATAATACTGGACATGTACATTTACAGAACATCCAGCTCCCTTAATTCTATCTGTGTATGTGTCATACGGCTGAGACGTATATATACAGTATAGTTAGCAGGTACAGCTGACCATGTGGAGGGGAAGAACCGGTGTTGAGTGGGGAGTGCTGTGTTAAAGGAGATGGCAAACTACTCTCACTGGGAACCAATGAGGAAATCCAGGAGCCATGCTCTGGCAGGGGAAATTGTGATAATGACTAAATGTTACAGGAGAGCATGTCCTATATACCAGTACATTTTGCAGCTGGAAAATGTATGTATCTGTTGTCTGGAACTTGGAATGAGCCCTTCTATTATGCTTTCAGGCATGGTAAGTCAGGCAGAATGTCTTGCATTTAAAGAAAAAGAACACTGATAATTTCTTGCCAGTTATATAATCCCAGATTAGGGAACTTTAAAAAAATAGCATCACCTTTTCAACATCATTGCCGATAGAAACTTTTGAAAGTTCACTGTATGCCAGACACTTTCAGTGTTAATGTACTATATCTGTGTAGAAGGAATAAGGTTGGTGAAAAATACATGTATACTCTCACTCAAAGAATGCAGTCAGAAATCTAAAGAGTCACTGGATGCATGTGCACAAGAGGGCAGTAGTAGGGCTTTGCATATGGTATTAACCATGACATTTTCAGACTTCTGTGTACTTAACCATGTAATCAGAATATCTCTTAATGTAGTATTTTTTTCAGAAACAAGTCATTACTTCCTCACCAGTGAGCCTGCTTTGTAGATTTCTTCTGTGTCTTGAGGCAAGGCAACTCTTCAGTTAAACTATTTCTTCTTCTAATGTTGTTTACAAACGCTAAAGAATCTGACTGAACCAGCTGGAGAAAGATTCCATTAGCAAAGAGAGAGCTAATAATTGTCCTCTCACTTGAAATAAGTAAATGTCCTTATTAAGAGGGGGAAAATAGTTTGATACTAACTGTGTCACATAATAATTCATACTTACACATTTCATATTACCCTGTGAGTATGAGCTGTAAGTATTGTTCTGTTCAGAGTCTTGCAGAGAAGACCCCTGGATTCCCTGAGAATCTTACCACCTATGTTGGCATTTCTAAAACAATCTATCAACTGAGTGGCCATCGTATGCCACTAATTTAATGCTGAGAATTTTTTTGTTTGTTTTCTTTGGTTATTATATAATTTTGATCACTCAGAAATGGATATATTTAACACTATGAAATATTTTCTTGTATTAATAAATTTTTATTCAGTTTGACAGAAGTATGAACTCAGCCTTCTTGGGCTCCTCAATTCCCCCCCGACCAATAACATTGTCTTTTTATCTGCAAAATAAAAAGTGTTGAAGATTATATGACTTGGTAGAACGTGGCCATTTGTATCCAGTCAAATCTTTCAAACAGAAAGAGCCAAGTAAAATATTCTTTCTTTTTTTTTGCTTTTGCTCTCTTCATGTGCCTGACTTCAAAGCTGATTTTACAGGTACAATACAAATAAAAAAAAACCAACTTTCTGCACAGTTCTAGGAGTATTTCAGACACATCTCTCTGATTTAAAGCTAAGATATCACAGCAGCACTTTGCTAGGAAGTAGTATATTTTGAGTTAAAAGAAATTAACAATTGGAATTAAATTTCACCTTGGAAGAGACATTGGCATTATTTATTTTGTTGTTGTAAGTAAGATATGAACTTACTTCACTCAAGATCTCCAAACTGCTCTCAAGGATAATACAAGATAACATTTCCCAGTAGCATAATTCCCATATGTTTGTAAATGTATTTAGGTATTTTATTTATGGATCTATTCAAGATGCTCCCAAAGGCAAAAAAAAATAAATTATCTGAATGCGCCTTTCAAGTTTCTTTTGGTGAGCGAGTAGCCAAAGCTGTGTTCATATTTCCAACTGCTTTAACACTGGACTGGTGTTTTTTTTCCCATCTAACTACACTTTTAGAGGGCTTGTTTGCCACAGTATTTACCAGTACGCAAGGTGAATTGGAATAATACATACATTAATCTTCTTTGCCCAATATTGTGCACATACAGAGAAAATGGGGGTGCACTGATAGGTGTAGTAAGCAATGTACTAAGATGATACAAAGAACACTGAAGTACTCAATGCATTTTATTTATTTTATTTTATTTTATTTTATTTTATTTTATTTTATTTTATTTTATTTTATTTTATTTTATTTTATTTTATTTTATTTTATTTTATTTTATTTATTTTATTTTATTTATTTTATTTTTATTTTATTTTGCATTGGTATTCACAGATGGAACTTACTCCCAGACCTCTGCATGTACTGTCATTGTTTGGGAAGTAGCAGGTCAGCCAGCAGTGGGAAAGCATTGGATTAGAAACTGCTTAAGACAGTTGGATGCGCCCATAGACATGACAAAGTACACGCAGTTGTGCTGAAAGAGCTAGTGAGTGTGATTGGGGCCTCTGTCAGTCAGCCCTGGAAAATCATGGTGGTTGGGAGAGATCCCTGTTGACTAGAAAGATGCCAACACGACACCTGTCTTTAAAAAAGGCAAGGACGAGGGTTCAGGGAACTACAGTCAGGCAGCCTTGCTTCAGTCAGTGGAAGGAGCATGGAGGATGTTGTCATCAGACCCTTTTCCAGGAACGTAAAGGACACAAAGACAATCTGGAATAGTCAACAGTAGGCAAATTGTGCTTCACCACCCTGGTTGCCTTCTATGATGCCAGGAAATGATTCTGTGGAAAAAGGAATAGTGGTGGTTGTGATGTATCTTGAATTTAGTAAGGCTTTTGTGCCACGCTCCCATGGCAGCCTCACTTGGAAGCTAGGAAATGTGGGCTGGCAAGTGGAGCTTTAGGGGGACTGAAGATTGGCTGGACTACCAGAGGCAAAGGGTAGCGATTGAAGGCTGCGTGCTTGGTTGGCAGCTGGTAACGAGCAGAGTGCATCAGGGGAGTGTAGCGGGGCTCACGTTGTTCAACACCTTCATCAGTGATCTGGCTGATGCCACAAGGAGATTTGCATGTGACAAGAGATGAAGGGGTGTGACTGGCACATCAGATGGGAGAACACCAATTCTATGGCACCTTGATAAACTGGAGAACTGGGCCAACAGAAACATCATGAAATTCAGTAAGAAGTGCAGAGATTTACACCTGGGATGGAATGTTAGAAGAATGGCAGAAACAGACTCTTCTCAGTAGAGACAGACAATAAAGCAAGGGGCAGCAGACAGAACTCCTGCCTTGGGAGGTCCAGGTTGGAGATAAAGAGAACCAGTTGCACTAGAAGGGTGACGTAGCCATGGAAGAGGGTCCCATAAAGGTTATAGAATCTCCATTGCTGGCAGACTTCAATATTTGGGCAAAGCCATGGCTGACCCCATGTGATACGGGCAGTAGTCCCATTTCAAGTGAGGTTATCTTTCCAAATAAATTCTGTGATTCTGTGATTAAAATGGTTTATGTTCATCAGTTTGTACATAGGTAGCCTCTAGGAATCTGTTACGTGAGACAAGAAATAAAAAGGGAATATTAAATAGTAGGTTCTGTGTACTTTATAAGCTGTATACCAATCTTCTCCACTTTATTAGCCCAATCTTTTTTGTTGCCTGTATTTTTCTTTATGAACCGTTATGTATCATTGTTTTGCATTGGCGTTTGCCAGTAGTCAAATGATCCTAACTTTCTGTAGCAAGTTGCTGCAGTACCAAAAACAGTTTGTAGCAGTCAGCTGGAGTTTTAGAATCCCTTATGAAGCAGTCTGTCTTAAGAAACAGTTTCTTTAGTTTCAAAATTAGATTTTCTTATAGCATTTTGGAAAATAAACCATTTTGATTACCTTTTTTCCCTACCTTTAATATGAACCTTACTATAATTTGACTAAAACTTTGAAAGTCCAGTTCTTGCACATTCATGCCTGATACTGGAATTTTTGTAAAACATTGCTTTGTTACTTCCAGAGCTCACTGAAAGCAAACGTAACTGCCAACATTAGACTTTTTATCCTACTGGAGAGCCTTCCAAATAAATCATTAAGTGGTTAGTAACTATAGGATTTTCTGTACATTATAAGCAGGAGGGTATTTTTTTGGCCTGGGGTCATCTTCTCCAGATGTGTACCAACAGGGATCCATTGCAAAGGGAATAAATAGACTCTCACTATGATTTTCTGGCAGATATTATTCCCACCTTGGCCCCCTCCCATGGGAGGCAACAATGCAACTGTTTTTCTTTTTCTCCATATATTTAACTGTGTAAATTAGAAAAAGTTTAGGACCTTAAAAAGCTATGAATTTTGTTGTGTTTTTGTTTTTATTTTCCTCATGCCAACATATCTCTAAGCTATCTGTAGGGCAAATACACTGGAAATGAGAGAACATGAGTAAATTAAATAAAATCAACTGATATAAAGTCTATGCTGCCCTTTTCTTCTAAGTATTTTCTCTCTTGTGCTATTACCATAATATGTTTTTGCATACATATCTGTTCTTTGCTTGCCTGTTGTCTCTGTGCTTCTCTCTCTCTGGTAAAAATAAGCATCTCTTTTTTATATTTCATCACACCTCTTTTTCTACAGTTTTTGTCACATTTTTATCTATACTTTTCTGCAGGCATTCCATTAGTTTCTGCTAAATAATTGCCTAGGAGACAGTTCATTTTCTAAATAAATCAAAACATTGAGAACAGACCCACTAGAGTCTATTCTTATTTACAAGTAAAGACAGGCTTAAAAAGGTGTTTGGAAAATGCAAAAATTTAAGAAAAATGCTTTAATAGTTATCTGAAATTTATAAACTGAGGATGAATATAGAGTACTTTACTGATATGACATTTACTTAATCAGTGTTTATATAGCATGTTAGAAGCTGCCAGAACACCTCCATATCTCTTGCTATTAGTAGAAGAAGGTGGTTTGGTTTGTTTAGTTTTTTTTTTTTTTTTTTTTTTTTTCCTAAAGACTGTTCATCCCATTGCCTACATTTGTTTTTCAGCTTGCTTGGGAACATGGCATACCCTTTTTTGAAACCAGTGCTAAAGATAATGTGAACATTGAGGATGCATTCTCAGTCTTGACTAACGAGATACTGGAAAAGGTAGGCTCCTTCTCTGAGTAGAAAGAAAATGGGAGATTTTTCTTGATAGATTGGGTAAACAAGGTTGTAACTGCAGAAGGGTTTAAGAAAGCACGACCAGTCCTGTTTTTGCACTATGGAGTTAATATTTTGGGGGGATCCTTTAGCTGTAGACATACAGAGGAGTAACGTGGGGGAGAAGAACTGTGGGAGAAGAGAACAGAAGAAGGGGAGCAAGTAAAATACAGTTCAGAGAGAAGGTGAAAATTAAAGAAAACTGCATTTGTGGGTTTCCTTCCCACACCTTTCTTCAAGGGAGAGGTTAACAGCTCTAGAGTAGTTCCACTTCGACGCAGAAAGGATCCTTTTTCCTGTAGGTTTGTGTAGAATATGCATACTGTGAAGATGCTGCATGCTGATGGAATCAGTGGACCTTTTGTGTTCAGCAATCAAATGTTTTATCCAAAGTTCATAGCTGTTTGTTTGGGTTATTTACACTAGTGCTTTTGAAGTTATTAGGACCTAAAGATTTGAGTTAATTAATGGTAGAATCAATATTGTAGCTCTCAGAGTCAGAATCTCTAACTACCTCGAATGTGTTGGCTTAAAGGTCCTTACTCCTCAGAGCTGCAATACTTTTGTAGGACTGAATTATTGTTAATTAACTCTGAAAATGTTTTGCATTGCAATTTATTTTTAGACAGTAGAATATTATTTTAGACATTAATGGATGTTCTTCATGCAATGCATTATCATTGCCATTCATCACCAATATTAGTTATACAAAACTAACCTTCCATTCTGAATACTCTTGAAGTCATAATAAAGATAAATGAGCAAAATTACTGACAGAGTCACAAGTTGCGGTGTTTTGATTAAGTAGCCATAGGGGATGGTCAGAATAATAGCTCAGGGTTGGACTGCTCCTAAATCAAGGTCCTGTCATATTATACAATAACACAAGCTGTAGCTGGTTATTTTGGGGTAGGAAAAAAAAGAAGAAAAAAAAAAGCTTTTGATTCCTTTAGCATGAAAATTAAGTTCAGCAACTCAACAGTCAAATATAGTTTAGAGCAGGAGGATAACGACAGGTCCTTGAACAGTTGGCAGAAAGTCTCAAATAAGGTAACTCTGATCTTCCTGTAAATTAAAAAGGCATTGTCTACTGTAGAGAATGTATTTGTTAGTATGAAGCATGAAAACTACAAAACAATAGCTATGATCATAACTGCTGCAAAGACAAATACATGTAAAGCAAACATTTCTGCATGGTGTGTTTGGGTAAAATCCAAGAGAATTCTCTGCAGCGTGCAGAAATTAAGTTTGGATATTTCTTACATTAAGATTGCCTGCACTTATTTTACTTTAAGTGGAACTTCAGTATTCCTGCTCGTCTTCATGAAAATTCATGGGTTTTGTAGTGTGGACATGCAAACAGATTCAGACCATGTTGAAAATGTTACACTGTTGCATGGCTGTAATTAGAACTGATGGAGAATACAGTTATACACTCTGCATGCATGTATGTGTGTTTGGAAAAGTTGTCCACTGGATTTTGTCAAATTTGTGTGTAGTAACATTTCACCTTATCTATAAATGTTTGCAACTCCTGATGGGGCATCAGGTGCCATTACTTTGGTGTATAATTTGCCATTTTTAGTGAAATGCATTTGTTGAGTTAAACAAGGACTCCTTTAGCCCAATTGCTTTTGCCACTGGCCTGATAAGAAAGAGTTCACAGTAAAAAAAATAAATTACCATACACTTTCATCATGGTTTTCAGGTTCGACAAAATAATTTGCTTGTTCACAAAACTGTGAAATCTGAATGTAGTACTTGAATTTTAACTTCCTCTAACTGATGAAATTTTGGAGAAGGGAAAATGCAGTAGGAAGTGTGACCAGTAGCTGTGAAAAATGACACGATAGATGCCAGTCTGAGATCCCTTCAGTCATACATCCATTCTGTACTGATAAAATATATACTTGCTGATTGGAAAAAGGAGATGCGGTGTTTGCACAGTGTTTTGGCCCAAGACACCTATGACTGAGGTAGCAGGATATCGGGCCTCCCTTACTTCTGCAATAGGACCACCTGTCGCAGACCGATGAGATGCTTCAGTGGAAACATGTCCCTGCTTTACCAGTCCCACAGAGGAAACTCATTTTAAGGAACTCCCTAGAAAAGTCTATTATAGCCATGCTTCTGGGAAGTATGTGGAGGTCATTCAGAACTAAGATAGATAGGCAGGGCAGGCTATTAGACGGTAGACCATTTTCAGATGCATTGCAGAGGGCTGTATTAATCTGAGGAAATCTTGGATTTTTTTCTGTACACTCTTGTTCCACCTACCATGGGCATTTCTTTATTAACTAAACCTACAGAAAACACCCCTATAGATAGGGAAGATCAGTGTCTGGAGTTACAGAGCTCATATAGAAGTAATGAGCTTCTTGATTCTCTTGACATTTAGAACAAGTTGTGGTTCAGTGGAGGATTGGCAAAAAAACACATTAGAATGTGTCAGACATTATAAAAAAAAAAAAAAAAAAAGGCAAGTTTGTGTTGTCATTATTTTGCGCTGCATTTTCCTGTCTCTTTTTTTGTGGTTTTACTTCTAGTGGCCTCAAGGGAGAGAGAAGACTTCTGTATCCCAGCAATTCAGATAACTAAAGAGCTGCTTGACCTTTCAGATATTTTATCATCTCAGCCATTCTATGCTGGGTCTTAATCCTACAGCTCTAATTAACATGGGTAGTGTCATTAAAACAATTCCATGCTATTTGACAACTTACATTGGCAGCAGCTAAGGACTCATGCCATATTTTTGAGAACTCTTGATTTTCAGTTAACAGTAACTGATTTGATTGTATTCAGAAGGCTGCAGTGGAAATGAATGCTAATGACACATCTTATTCCAGAGGTTTGCTTAGACATGTTGACAAATAACAACAGTATTTTATTTATTCACAGTTCTTAGGAGTCTCAGATATGCCTAAACCTGTTCATTAATAGATGGCAGCTGTTCCTTAACAGTGGTTCTGGTTGCAGGTGAACTATTTGTACTTGTGAGTCAGTCCTCAAAGAACAACCAAAACAAAAAAATACCACCCAGAATGCAGTTAGTATTTGAACCTTTGTGTTGTTTTGTTTCATGGCTGACGAGCAGTACTCTTCTCAACTAGCTTTTTAAAAAAATATTACAAGCCTTTGTGTTTCTGTCTTTGTGGGTGTGGTAGTTGGTATTTTTCTAAACTAGGAGCAGAAGGAGAGAAACTGTATTAAAAAAATGAAGTTTTTGCCCTTTTCTGAAGACTGCTATAAAACTAACCAAAATTTATGTTCAGCCTATCTCCCAAGAGTGATTGACTACTAAGATTATTTTAATATAATATTAAATATCAACATATATCTGCTGAGCAGAGAAGAGTCAAAATCCATTTATGACCTTGCCCTGTGCTGTTGAGAGTAACATTTAATATTTAACAGCTGGATGTCATTTGAGATGAACATTCAGAAGTACCAGGCCTCAATTCTGTCCTTCCTTCATCTCTTTATCTTTCTTTCCTGTGGCAACGAGATTTTTTAGATTACACTGTGTGTCCCATTCCGTTTCTCGTACCTTTGGAACTTGCTAGCTGATTTTAAACAAATTTGAGAGGTCAAACTAAAAGATAATTAAGCTTTTGAGGAGTTCCTTGAAAATACAGTGCTGGGTGCAGGAGAGGCAGAGTGTTCTGCAGAGGGAAAGTCCCCGGCATTAGTTCATACAGTATTAGACAGAGATGACTACACAGAGAGACTGAAAAATGCTTCAGCCAGCCACTCCAGCTGGAGCTTGCATCGCGGATATCAAATTTAATTCACTGCAAGACCCAAATCCATAGGAAATCGGATTTCATTATTGCCAAGGTTCATGGAATTGTTAGTTTGTCCAAAAGATCCCTGTGTCTCCAGCAGTGCACATTCAGTGTTTCTTTATTATCCTCAGTCATGCATGGAGCCCCAGGCTTTATTTGCCCTTTATTTATCTTGTACTGACCACAGAATATTAATTTCTTTGTGAGGTTTTTCATAATGCTGTATTTTAGATCTGGTTTAGATTTTTATCTTTATAATCTTCTTAGTAACATTAGGTAGTATTCTCAGCATTGCACACATGGGAACCAAGGTACAGAGATTAAAGCAAAGAGGATAAATGGTACCAACTCACTTAGTGCTGGTGCAATGTAGGGCATAATTTTACTATACTATCTTGTTTAATTTAAAAAAAGAAAAAGTCTGTTCTGGACATCGAATGAGCCAGATATACCTCTGGAAACAGTAGCATATAATTAGGTCATGTAAATCAAAACTTAGTCATAACATTTGAGGTATAGGGGATAAGATTCAACTTAGCATGCAACCTTAGCCAGCTAAAATTTCCCTGACTGGTCTGGTGTGGTTGTCTGGAATCATCTCTATTCAATGGAAAGAGATGCATCTTTTTAGTATAAAATTGTGATCTGGAGGTGCTTTTCTCTCTCCATTGATTATAGAGGACTCCATATCTCAGCCTATCTGGTTTCATGTGATTAAAATATTAAACTCCATGAGACCAAAGGAATTTTGCACACTTAACTTGTGGCTTTTGCTGCTTGTGCAGGATCTTGACTTTGAAGCCTGATCACTCTCTTAAATAGGGTTTTTGAGGTGGAACTATGTTGATCCTTACGTAGACGATCTGTAGGGTTGAGGCACCTTAGGGTAAAAGCACAGCTGTCTTCTCAAGTTTGTGGAATAACTGATTGCAATACAACATTGTCACAGTCTATGTGATAATAACAGAAGAGGGAGATAGAGACCCACACTTTGCCAGTGGGTTAGATGTTTTAAATGTTGTGGAAGAGCAGGCTTTGGGAGCAAGACTTCATCCCCATTTCTTGAGGGAAGTGTTCTGAAGCAGTTAGATCCTGCTGTGCCTGACCCCATACCCTTTCCTGGTCCTCTCCCTGTCCCCTCAGTGATCGCTTTCCCTGCCAGGATACCCCTGGCTCTTGCTTGATGCTGCTTGTGTCCTGTCCCACCCATTCCTGTTGCAAGAAGACTGTCTTGCATTTTGAACAAGTAATTTGCATTTCTGAATACAGGGAAAATACATGTCAAGAAAGTGGCAGGGCCACTGATCTTAGTAAGAGCTCCCTACTGGCATTTCAGGCACAGAAGTCACATGAACTTGTGTTGCATGTTCTCTGCCATGCTTTGCCAGTATTTGTCAACTATCACTGTTAAACAAAACTATTGCAGTGATTAAGTATGATCGTTTTGTCATTAGGGAGAATAAAAATCCCTGAAATGTAAAGAACTTAGAAATAATAGTAACTTCAGTCGCTTCTGCTTGTTTCTTTAAAGCTGTAGGTTTTCCAGCATGCACTCCAGGTCTGACTTTGACTGGAGACATTGAAATGGACTGAGTAAAACCCTATCATTCTTCCAAACCCATAGTGAACCCCACCTCCAAAATAACTAAAACAGTATCAAAATAACTAAACCAGTATCAAAATACCAAGAACTGGTGCTAGAGTAGGTGAATCTGACTTGGTATGACACTGCTAATCTGAGCAGTTTTTCAACAAGGAATGGGCAGCTGATCTTAACGAAGCTTTATAAATTTACTCCATTAGAAGCCTTTCAAAGAGTTTCTCTTATTTTTTGACGATATTTCCCTTTGTATACCAGCTTAACTTTCTGTCCTTGATTTAAAAAAAAAAAAAGAAAAAAAAGGCCAAAACATTTGGGATCTCAGCCATCTGATCACAGTTCCTGTGTCTAGAAATTTGGTATCTATTGCACACCAGCGATACAAACTCTGCTCAGAGCTGGGGAAGAGAGACAGCCAGGACGGGAGACAGCAGGAAGCTTAAAACTGGCTTGAACACATGCCTGTCTGTTAGGTGAGACATGTCTGCTGTGCTATTTAACAGGAAAAACTAGTATTTGATAGCAGGAAGTTTCAACTAAAATCACTACAGGGTAGAGTGGCATCTGCATGTGTGGCGGTATTTTCAAAACCCCCACTTTGCCCAAGATGCCAAAGTGGAAATTCGGGCTTCTTGGTACCATTTTGGTTCTTCTCACTTTTTCAGTTTTCTGGTGTCTGTTGGCTGGCTTGTCAGGGAGTGAGTTACAACAGGCTGAGCTGCAATGTGAGCTGGAAGTGTTAGTGTTCACGAAGCCCTGAAGAAGGAATGCTGCCGGCCTTGTTCGCACAGGAGGGAGAGATTTGCATAACTCCCTGCTGTAATTTCAGGCGAGGCGGGTGCCCCGCCTCTTCCAAGGCTCTGCTGAAGTTGGGTACTACCTGGGATTGCTTGCTCATTGCTTTGGTGCTTTATGCCGGACTTGTAATATCTCTTCAGGTTATAAATGTGCACTTTTAAAATGTGTGTATAGCATATTTGCTTAAATGAATCCCGGGCCCTTATTTGCTTGATGAAGATCCTGTATGGAATACTCTTATCAAACTGAAGTGATTCTTTAAGTCCTCAGCTTTTAATTGTCTTTTAAAACCAAGTATTACCTCTTCTTATTTATGTAGAGGTGGTTCTTGTTCTTCTGTCCCAGCTAATTTATTGATGAACTAATATCAGATAATGATTTTACAGATTATATGAACCATTTTATTGTCAAATAGGTTTCACCATTTCATCACTTATAGTACTGAGGATCCTTGCTAAGGATACATGAAGAGCTTGCTCACCACCCAAAAGTATTATTAAGTAGTAAGGTATTTGCAGATAAGCATCTTTGGGGTTTGCAAGTTTCTTCCCTTTAATTGAAAGCATGAAGTTAGCTATAACCTGCAACACTTTCAGATTACCTGATTCCTCTAAAGTAAGCGAAACCTGAATTCTGAAATTGTTCAAACAGGGATTTTTCTAAACTCTTTTCCTACTTAAACTGAGGGTTTTTTCCTTCTGAAGAAAAAGCAGGGGTGAAACAAAACCTACTTAGTTTATGTCCATGGTAATCAATGCTCAGTGTTATTTCTTGGTCTTCTAGAGTGAAGTTAAATGTCTTACTGTACCATTATCTTTTAAAGCTTCATCCCGCTCAAAATCTTATCTCTAAACCAGAGTGGTGTCTTGTTCCTTGAGATGACAAGGTCATGGTTGTGTACTTTTGATTCTGCCTTGCTCCCTCTTTTAAAAAGGTCTTCATACATTACATTTACTGTATATGCTTGAAGACGAGCAAATACCGTCTCCACCTAGCACAGATCATAATGGCTAATGCCTGTATTCGAGCACCTTACACAACTGTGTAAAAAATTAAATGAGAAGTTAGGAAGCTGCATGTTGGAATTTGTGCAAACTCTCAAGTGTAATAGAAATGTTATGTCTGTTGGTACTTGTCACTCCAACAAAAGAACAAATAAAAGTGCACATTGTATTTCTTCATACATGATTTATATGTGATTAGTGAGAAGTAATTCCTAAAATCAGTAAGTCACAGTCTTCTAGTACCCTAGAGTCAGAACAGTAAGTGTTCATAATTTTATTGATGACAGCTTCGGCATCCATCCTGAGGTTTAGACACTGTGTCACCTTTCCTGCCCTCTGCTCCTGACTCTATCCATCACTTCTGATCCCTTCCCAGGTGTTACATCTTCTCCCCCAGCAGTGTGCACTGTGGAAGCCCCCCTGGGTACCTGCAGCCCCCAGGGAGGAATGGTCCCAGCCACTCTCTTTGTGGGGGTGGCCCTGGCACAGGGCAGTCAGCACCCTGGGAGAGCTAAAACTACGGCTAAGAAGGAAAAAGGAAATAAATTTCATACATCTTCTCCAGAATTTTCAGTAGCATTAAATATTCTCAGCCAAAGATGCATAAGGCTTATGGCTTTTTATTTTCCCCTTGTTTTTTTATTTTCCCCTTGTTTTGATTCATCTGAGTAATTTTAGGTGAACCTTTCTGGATGTAATCAATGTTCAGCTACCCTGTAACGTTGTATGTGTAAGTTCTTGATTCTGAATCATGATTAGCATTGCACTACATAATGCCTTTTTTTCCCTCCTCTTTTTTTTTTTTTTTTTCCTGTGCTTTGAATTTCCCAAATTACAGCTTAGATAGCTGTCCTCTGGAAGCTTCTTTTTATTGTCAGAAATGGTTGTTCATGGCTGTTGGGTTTAGGTTGAGAGAGGAATGTGGTGAATCCAGTGGTTGCACTTCTCTGTGTCATTACATACTTGGTAAACCTGCCAAGAAATAGGCAGGAGAATGGCAAGTAGAGAAGTTAGGTCATTTTTTTCCTATGCACGTGACAATATTCTCTATGTCTTTGTGCCTGAGTTCAGGGTTCAGTGTTCATAGTTTTAGAGCCCAAGATTGCAACATGTGCTCCTACTGCATTGCACAAATTGGTTTGATTGTGTCTCTGGTCAGCACTAATTAACTAGTTGAGTTTATTGCTGAAAGGAAGAGTCCTGGGTTTGCTTTTTTTTTTTTTTTTTAAAATCAGCTTTTGCAATCAGGACATAAAAGTTTCACAAGGGTGGAATGCTATTTTCATAGTTTATCTTGATAAAGACTGAGTTGTCTCCATTTGGGGGTATTCCTGGTTATTAAACAGAGTCAAGAAAATAGAGAATTTTAGTGAATTTCACCAAACAAGGTAACATCCTTTATAACAATTAATAGCCTGTGCCTTTTTTTAATGGGTACTTATGTGCTGTATTTACTGATTCCTTTCAACTGGATTTTTGCACCCCGTGCTCAATCCTTCAAAGATTAGTGTACTTAACTGCAAATTTGTGAAAACCGGTATAGTCAGCAGAAGAACCTTTGCATCTAGAACCGTTCATGTGAGTAAAGATTTACAGGATTAGTTCATACAGTTTTTAGTGTCTCCTCAAAAGACACTTTCTATCATCTGTCATCTTCAGCGTTAAGAGAGATGCTTGAGGCAGCTAAAGAATGTAAATATACCAAGCTGGGACTTGCATGGGCATCAGTCTCCATCTAATTTACTAGAAAACTGCAATCTTTTAATTAAATATTCAAAGGAAGAATATATCCAGTGACCCTACCAAATCTGTTACACATTAAAATATGTGAAAATTTAAGCTTTTTAACTGTTGTGTTCTTTTTATCTTAATTAAGTGTTTACTTTTGTTTGTTTTACAGAAGACTTGTGTATTATATGACTTAGATGTTGTGGCTCTAAATGAAAGTAAGAAGAGAACCTGCTGTTCATTCTGAAATACTGTATCTTACTGCATTTTCTTTTCAGAAAATGTTAACTATTGCAAAGGAACATGCAAGATTTTAAAAGTGAGCCTGTAATCCCAAAACACAGTATTTAGGCATCCTTTGTATTACACAAACTTTGTTGCCAAATGTTTTGATATGTTTATATTATATTTTCATATTTTTAATGTGAAGTTAAATCAGTTACCTGACTTTGAAATTATTAAATGCATCACAGGATGACTGCATTTGCATACAATTGTTTACAGAAATGAAATGTAAGTGTACTAATTTTCTTATTAAAGAAAAGTTTTCCCTAACTTTTTTTTCTGTGTTATTTCTATGAGATTTGTAATGTAATGAACATTGACATCAGCACAGAGGCAGCCTTCTGATACATGAAATCACTTATGCTATCCCCTAGATGACATCTCAAGTAGCTGGTATTTATTACAGTCCCATAAGATAATTTTCTGGAAATTTTTGGCCTTGTTTATTTTATATCAATTTCAGAAACATATGTTGCTTGAGTACCCTTGAACAGGGAGGCTGCAAAGGTGAGGCCTGAGAGAAAAGAATAAGAATAAGCCATATACAAGATCAGTATGCTGCTGAACCTTCCTTAAAAGGCAGAAAGCGTGGAATAACAGAATGCATCCAGTAATAATTATCTTGCTAATATAAACTTTTATCATTCTACAAAATAATTCATGCAAGTGTTAGCAGCATACCTGCATTTTCAAATGTTCCTTTTGTCGTAAATGATCACAATATTAAAATGATATGCAGTGCTTGTTTGATACTGTCAGATACTTACATTATTTTCTTAATGTATAAATACATCATATATCTGATTCTGCTCATTTAGATCTGTTTTATACTGGTATATAGTATCTTTAATTTTAGTGAAGGATATTGGGTTTTATTTAAATTTAAATGAGGGCAGAATCAGGATGCCAGTTTCCTTTTCTTTAATCAGAAGCAAAGAGAACACAAATCAAACCTGCAAGACACACAAAGCAAACACAGGTTGGGAAATCTGAAGAATTGTGGTGATCTTGTTGGTTTTTTTTGTTTTGTTTTTTTTTTTTTTTTTTTTCCTGAGATGTGGTTGTTGCTGATTATTATATTTAATTGATTTATCACCATTTGTGAATTAATAATACTACTGTGCAAAATTGTGTTGTGAGTCATCCCAGCACATCCAGAATAACTAACTCCACTGGTTTATTGTTCTGGGATGTCACTAACCTCCTGAAATACGCCTGCTTCTTTTTTGAGGGCTGTTTGCAGACTGTAATAACAAATTATTATTAAATGTGGTATTGAGACAGTGGGCCCAACTGGAAGATGCTTTCTGAAGCATATGGGATGTAATGTGCCTGAGCATGCTGCCAGGTTGCTGTGCCACTAGGCCACTGCGCATGCTTGCAGAAGGGGTGCAAAAGGACGGGAAGGGCGACAGATTTACAGCCACTCCTGCCTACTCATCGTGGCCAGTCACTTAAGCTAGCATTTAGAGCAAAATCTGAAAACAAGGAACAAAGGATAATCTCTGCCTTAGTTACAACCATAGCAGAGGAAGAAAATAGTGCTGGAAGGGGTTTTCAGATGCTATCTAGGTCCTTGTCTTGTGATCTCTCTGAGTGGCGTACAGTCCATCCTTAACTGGTTTGGCAAGCAGGAAGTTTCCTGATACCTAACCTAACTGATACACATGGAAAGCAGGTTCTTCCTTTTCTCCTGATGTAGGTGAACACCTCTGCCTGCCCTTGCTCTTCTCTAGGCCGGACAACTATTGTCCCTTCTACCTCCCCTTGCAGTTTGGGTTTTCAGAATCCTTCACCATTATTGTCTCTCTCCTCTCAGTATTTTTGAGCTGGTTCTCAACTATCCTGGAGTGCAGACCTGAAAACTGAGCAGACTATTCCAGTTTAAATAATGACGGCTGGGCAGATTAAAATGATTTTTTTGTTACCTTATTTATGATGCTCCTGTTTATGCATTCCAGAATCAGCCTAGCACTGCTCATGATGTGTAATCTCTTTCCTGAAGAACTGCTTTTTGATCCTGGTATGTACTTGTGCAGTTGATTATTCCTTTGTATGTGTAGAACCTTCTGTTTCTCCTTATTTGGTGGCATTTGAGTTTCTCTCATCTGCCAAGATCGTTCTGAATCGTAATGCTGTGCTCTGGCATAGTTGGAGCCTCTTCCTGTAGATACAGTCTCCAAATGTGAGGAAATGTACTCTGTTCAGTCATCAAAGATGTTGATGAAAGTGCTGAATAGTTCTGGATCCAAGACAAATCTCAGTGAAATCCCATTCAATGTATCCTTTCATCTTGGGAGTAGTAATTATTTCCAAAGAATTTTGCACTCATTTTATATACTTACCTAGACCATATTTCATTTCAATTAAGAGCACATTATATGAAACCCTATAATCCTCACTCTTTCTACCCTATCCACAAAGCCTGTTACTATCTGATAGGAGTAGACTAGATTGATCAGGTATTGTTACTGACAAACCCATGCTGCTATTTGTCTTATCTTTACTTTTTAGATTCTTATGAATGGCTGGATTACGTGTTGAAATATTTTATTCTTTTTTTCCAAGTAGAAATTTAGCTAACCAGCCTGTAGAGCTCTTTCTTTCCACCCTTTGAGAGGGATGCAATCCTGTCAGAGGTTTCTAGAACCTCACTCATTCTCTGTTGATTCTTGGAGATAATCAGTAGCAGCTCTCACATTGCTTGAACCCTAAGGGAGTTTCATCAGGTCCAGTCTATCCAGAAATCTTTTAACTTATCTAAATATTTTCCAGTCTATTTCTTCATTTTTCTAGCCTAAGCTCTGAGACTTTTGTCAGTGGTGCTAGTAGTGAAATCACATCTGCCTTCTTAAATTGAAGACTGAGGTTGAGAAGGGCATTAAGGTTACTGGAGTCTCAGCATCACCAGTTGCTAGGTGAGGATTAAATAGATTTTCCGCTCTATGGAATAACAGACCAGTTTTTTCCTTGGTCTTCTCACTATGAGTCTTTCCAACATCCTTACTATCTTGTAAATAAGATTTTCTAACATTTTGGGGCCTTATCTTTCTGGTTTTGTCCATACATAGTCTATACATTTGTTCATAATTTAGTAATTTGACCTACTTGCTACTTTCTTTCAGGTCATTGAAGATCTTAGGATTCAGCCAAGTTAGTCTTTATTTCACTTACTCTCCCTTCTCTGTGTAGATCCAGTTCTGCAGTTTTGCCTTCAGCAGTGGATCTCCGATGAACTTCAAGCTGTCCTGAACTCACTGAAGTTTAGCTACTAGTTCTCTAAGTCTCCATTTAGTTCCTCCTCATCTTCCTAACAACTAAAATAGGTAAAAGAAGGTCAGATTGATTGATAATTTTATTTTCTTGTCTGTATAGCTAATCAGCATTTCAAATACAGGAATTTCTTCTATACGTTTTTCCTTCTCGCAGTGTTTTCTACTACTTGTGGCTTAGGTATGAGCGAGTCACTGGCCCACCTTACGAAGATGCAAATACTGAGGTTCCCATGCAGTGTTTGCAGTATTCCTCACCCCTGCTAGCTGATGCAGAGTGCTTCACCTAACACTCCAGGTAGCATGAGCGCTCTCCTCTTCACATCCTTTCCTCTCCTGGAGCAAAACAACTGCCTTTTCTAAGTATATGCATTGTTGACTACATTCACAGAAGCGTGCCACTGGGGGAAAAAACACCCTTCTTACTAGAAAGGACCAAAAAACCTCCCACCAAACTGGAACACTGTGTTTGGGGGCATTTTCCCAACTAGAAATAGGATGTAAGTTGAGAGCACTCTCTTCATTTGGTTCTCTCCAAATGGCTGGATGATAGTGTTGCACAAATTCCTGCAGATGGACTTTTCAGAATAAAAAAAAAAGGCTAAATAAAAGGGATTTGACTGGATAAAGGGGACACCTCTTATAATGAAATAGAAGATAAAAGATGAATGTTCACACCACACCCTCATATCTCTTTGGAATAGCTTGCATGAGCACAGATTGCTTGGATTTTGCCAGTAAGACAGGAATAGCGTTCTCTTTCAAAACATGAGATGCACAGACATCAGCTGTATCATACGCATTGTTCTCTTTCTCTCTTGTTTCAGAGAAGGGTAGGTGCATAGGATCTGATTCTGAAATGATCACTGTGTCTCCTGTTGTTTCCCACTGGACTTGTAAATTTCATTATGAAAATCAGGCCTTTGATACAAAGGCAAATCACATGTAAGAAGAAGGAATGAAAATTCATGAGGGTTTTTAAAGAAATACTGACTATGATGGCTTCACATGAAACTTGCTGTATAAGGCTCAGAGTTTTAGTTGGTGTAAAGCACTTTACCAGATTCATACTAAAATCAGTTTGTTGTGAACAGCTCCATTTCAAATTTTATCATAGATAGGAACTGATGATGACCCATATTGTTTTAAAAAATCATTTTATTGGCAATGGAATACATATGTACTAGAGATTTTACAGCCTGCTGCATAAATGTGTTGTGAAATCAACATGAAAGACAATTCAAAATGCATTTAAGAGTAATTTCAGGAATTATTCTGAGTCCCCCTGCCACTGCTCACGGTTTTATGGTGACAATTTGCTGTTGATACATACAGACTGTCTCTGAATGCTGCCCGAAAGGCACACACACAAAAACCGAGATGTTGGGTAACTGAGACACTGGTCCTGAGGCGGATCTGCTCACAGGAATTCCTCTCGAGGCCTGGCGGGTGCGTTAGCATTTTGCACCAGTAAGAGACTCTGGGAAGAGATCACAGTAAGGGACTCAGGCATTGCTAGACATCAGAGGAATTACTACATCTGAAGAGTTCATTATACATAAGGTGCAGTTAAAACAATAAATTGTCTGAGATTCATAAGTGTTGGTGATTTGAATACCGTGTATAGAGTATTAGAATATATTTCAAGGAGGTTGAGCTATAGTACAGTTAGGACACATAACAAAGTCGCTCTAAGAGCTCCAGTGAGACATTACGATACCGGTAAGCTTTATGCTGTCTCTTTGCCTGGAAATAACTGAATGAAATTTAGAAAGTATCTAGAAGTTACATTTTTAAAAAATGCATCTCGTTGCAATAGGACAGATAAGAATGGGTTGAGTTTCCACTAGTTGGAAAGAACACAAACACAGTTACATGAAGACAGACTCAAAAGCCACAGGACATCTAAAACCATTCGAAGAATGAAAAAATCTTTAAAGAAAAATCAGTAGTAACTACTTCTGTGTGAAGATGCATTTCTTCCCAGAAGCTGACGTGCATGATGTCTGAGAGAAGCACACACTGTGAGACAGTAGCAATCCTGGAATTAATGGTACCCAAGATAGTGTTTAAAAAGATCTTCTTGACAGACTAGTGCTTCTAGTCCCGGTGAATCCCAGTTTGACCTGATTTGCTTTGTCTCATGCCCTGCACTCAATAACCTTGTCAAACCTGAACGAGTTAAAACCATGCTTTTGCTTTCCATATTTCAACAATAATGCTCTTTGCTAATATATTACTTTGCACTTCAGTAGCTTCATTCACTTGAGTTGTTCAAAGCATTTGGTGAACTTTGTAAAAGGGAAGCTACTTTGAAAAAAAAAAAAAACAAATCCAGTGTCATATTTTTAAAGCTAACTATTCTGGTAGGCAGGATCTAACAGCAGCATGACTGAGTGTAGAGAATGAAGGTTTTTCATAGCGCTAGGAAATCCCAGTGCCAAACGGTGTAGCTAAAGCACAGACCCACATCGGGATGAGGTTCAAACCAACCCCGATCCATCTGAAGCGAGATAACTTGGGGTTTCTGTGATCCTCTGCGCCGACTGGCTCCCAGGGTCTTTGTTTCGTCTTGGAGAGCACGGATAAAGTCCCGGTCTCTGTTTGCAGCGGAGCAGAACAAGGGGGTGTCTGTCTCGGCCCTCCTCGTGCTCGCGGTGCTGCTGGCAGTGGCAGTTGCAGAGGCACAGAGCCCGCGGGCGGGCGGGCGGGCGGCAGGAGAGCTCCAGCAGCCCCCAGCTCTGCCCGCCGCGCGAGGATGGAGCCCGGAGAGGGATGTTAGCTGTGGACGTTCTCCCTGGGTTTGCGAATCGCTGAAAGGCACTTTCATGCTTCTAGTCAACAGTACAGCCTTAAATGTAGCCAAGTTTACTGCAGTAAAGTAAACAGCTTTGACACAAAAGTGAACAAAATAAGCACATTACAGTGCAACCACCCGGGAGTTAGTTCTTCTGGTTTAATTTCCCAGCATTTCTGCAGTCTAGCCATCCGGAGATGCATGAAAACGCATAAAAAAATGGTAGCATTAAATAGAATAGGAAGATCATACAGGATTTCCTTGCCTAGGCCACTTTGAAAAGAGAACTCATAGTTGAGTTTACATTTTCCCGTGGTCTGAAGACCCTCAGATGTGCAGCATACGTAATGCTTGCATGTGCAGTAACGGCGACAGAAATAAGTTGGAAGACTTTCCTCTAACTTTTGTGCACTACTCTTCGTACTTTAAATACCCATCTGCAGTTCACAGGCGACAACTGAAAATACCGAGCTGTAATGGAAGTCGCCATCTAACTGAACTTTTTTTTTAACGTTGGGTGAATTTCACAGGCAAAGCCCCCGTGCTAAATCAAACAGCGAGAAGACCCGGCGCAACCCGGTTGCCTCAGATCCGCTCCGGTAAACGCAGCGAGGCGCCTCAGGGGCCGACGGCAACCGCGGACGCGCGGGGGAGCGGCCGCACGGGAACCCACCGGCTCCGAGCGACCCCCGCGGCCGGCCCTCACGGTTCGCCACGCCACGCCACGCCACGCCACGCCACGCAGCCGCGGGGCCCTGCGCGGCGGCCGGGCTGCAGGTCGGGCGAGCGGTCGGAGGGTGGAGCGAGAGGGACGGGCTGGCGGCGGCGGCGGCGGCGGCGGCGGCGGCTCTCCCCGCCGGGCGGGCGGGCGGCCCGGCTCTCTCCTTTTCGGCGCGGGGAGGAGCGGCAGCTGCGCAGGCGTTGCTCGCACCCTGTTGATTAGTCAGTGCTGGGATGGCGCTTCCTGGGCCAGGCGCGGCGGCGGGCGGCCCCAGCCGGTCCCGGGGGGCGGCGGGAGCAGCAGCAGCCGCCGCCGCAGCAGCAGCAGCAGCAGCAGCAGCAGCAGCAGCCGCCCGGCGGGCCTCCCCTTCTGCCTAGCCCAGCATGTCCCGGGGGGGTCGGCGCTGAGCGCGGCGGGCTCACTTCCCTCCCTTCCTCAGTTCCCCTCCCCGCTGGCTGCAGCCCCGCCGGGTGGGAGCACCCCGCCGGCGCTGCCTGTCTGGCTCCCCTCCCCTCCCTCCCTCCCCTTCTCCCCGGGCCAGGAAGATGGACCCCGGCCCGGCTCTGGGTTGCAGCCTCAAGGACGTGAAGTGGAGCGGAGTGGCCGTCCCCCTGGACCTGCTCGTCAGTACCTACCGGCTCCCGCAGATCGCCCGGCTGGACAGCGGTGCGTGGGGTGTGGGGAGCGGGGAGCGGGGCCGGGCGGCGGGGCGGGCGGCGGGGGCCCCGGCTGCACACCCCCCCCCCCCCCGCTCCTCCCGCGGCGCTTTCCCTGCGGTCCCTGACACCGGCGTCTGCCCTTCCCGGGGGTGGGTGCGAGGCTTCGGCTGGCGGCGGAGCCCGTGCGTTGCTTTGCATCAAAATATCTGGGTGATACCCGCCCGCTGCCCCTTTGCCGTGTGTGTGTCCGGGGGGGGCTCGGTGCAGCCCGCTCGCTGTCAGCTGCCTGCCCCTCGGAAAGGTCCTCGCAGTCGCAAATTAAAACGTGGAAGGGCATTTTCGGTACTGGAGACCCAGCGTTGTGATGAAGTGATGCTACGCCGAGGCCAAGTAAGAAGGGACGTTAAATAGCCAAGTGGGCTAAATCCCAAATGTTACACTTCACTAAAAAAGCCACGAACCCGTAAAAAGTGGAGTAACCTAAGAAGCCTTTATAGTCTCCAGATAACTTTTTATTACTGTTCACTTGGGTGCTTTCCTGCAGTTCCCAAGTCTGCAGCTTTTTGTTTACTCCAGGAAATAAGAAGTTTGACAGAATAGCTGTGACAGCAGCGTTTTGCCTTTCCTAGATGCATGTCTTCGAAAGCAGTGTGTCAGCACAGAGAACTGGGGAAATATGGGGAATTTTTTATAAAGGCTCAGGCTTTATATATAGTAATAATATATCTAATAAAGGCTCAGCTGCTTTCTGTGTATGTGCATTGCATGGTAGCTCTGGGAAAACTGTCCAGCTCTCCAGTCTCTAAGGGAATGCAGAAGATAACTCACAAATCAAGAAAAATTTCCAGGCTTTTTAATTCGTTAGCTTATGAAATCACCTTGCATTTATACGATGTGATAGAACAGTTTCTTACAAAGTTTTGTATTGATTTGAAAAGTTAAAAAGGAGCACAGGCATTTGTCCTCTGTTACTCCTCGGTATGCAGGTCAAGACCAGGATTGGTTTATTACTTAACTGCAGTTCCCGTAATCCAGTGATGATTCAAACCAGGGGTTTTTTGACTTTGTCCCTTGATTATGCAGTACTTTTCCTGTCCCTTGTAGTGCTTCTTCAGAACTGGCACTCAGGAGCAGGTTAAAGAAGAGCTTCTTTGCCTTTTTACCTGCAGCTGGCTGGTTTTCGTACTGTCGAATGTCTGTAGTCCTGTAAGAATGGCAAAGCTGGTATGTTGAGGAGTTCCTTATGGTAGTACCTTCTGTCACTGGAAACAGCTAAGATGGCCTCCAGTCACTGCACTTAAGGTGGTCAATTTACTTGAGATTCCTGGCAGTGATTCAGGCTTTAACAGGATGTATGTATTGATGACTTACTAATTTCCCTCTCTGCATGTTATAATTCCCAGTCTCCTCACTCCTCTTGTCTTGCTTCATTGGAAAGGACCTGAAGGAGCTTGGTGGGTGGAGAAAGTTTATGGGTTTTTAAGCAAGTAATTATTTTGGGGGGGCTTTTTTTTTTTTTTTTTTTTCCTTTCGGTTTTGTGTCAGACTTGGTGGTGGGAATATCCCATAACTATTGGGGAGACAAGGATGTAGTGGATTATGTGCAAAGGCTTTTTTTGTCCCATGTGCCACACTCAGAGCATATGCACAGGCAAGTGGTAGGTGTAAACAGACCTGAGCTCTTTTGCCCATGCCCTGAGATGGCCAGATGTGAGGCAGCTGTTGGTGTAGGTGTCCTGGGAGTGCTGGTTCAGCCCCACACTAACCCTGCTGGGAGGCAGGCTCAGGTATGGCACTGTGCTAAGGGCTTTGGCTTGAAGCTGCTTGAGATCTGGCCAGTTCAGCATGCTGGCAGGGGCTCTTGGGTCTGCTTTTACCTACTCGTACAGACGTACCTTTCAACTTCTGGGACCACAGATGGCAGACGAATCAGTATTTTACAAAGAACGCAGACGCCATGGTCTTGGTGGTACGAAGAGAACACTTTCTATTTCCTAAGGAGGTTGTCTGGCAATAAGAGAAAGCAACCATGAATCTGTGTGTAGCCTTCTGAAGGAGGAAAGCTGGGAGCGTGCAATGTTTGTGGAAGTGACTGGAGCACCTGCTGTCCCAGGGCGGTTGCTCTGCATCCCTGTCCTTGTCTTGCAAAGCTAACAGGTGGAGCTCTGTCAGAGAATTTCTTGATGCGATACTGAAGAAAATAAATGCGGGGTCCAATCCAAGTGTGTGTCATCCACTGCTCGGGAAGTTTAAGGCTACCTCTGATAACGGAGGAGGGTCTTGTGCCAGTTCTGTCAGGATGCAGCTCTTGTCCCCTCCGCACCACTGCAGGTACAGCCTCATCGACGGGGTGAGGGTTCCGTTGCAGAGAAATGGCCTCGTCTCTTCTTTAGGTGCTAAATTCCTCTCCAGATCAGTGGAAGCTGCATGTGTTCCATGCTGTTGGAAATCAAACCACCTGTAGATGTCTGTCTTCAGTCACCTTTTGATTTTGTGGTTGCCTTCTGTCTGTAGCAGCGAGTTGTTTCTAGACTGGTTGTTTCAGTCATCGTGAGGTTTTGGGAAAGCCAGAATTAATTTCTTCTGGGGGACTGGGATATAGAAGAGGGTTGGAAAGATGGATGTGTGTTTTTTGCAGAAGATGCCAGCCTTACTGTATTGTTTTGACATTTCTTAATGGAGTTTACACTTGGTGGATAATGTTCTTCAGTGACAGACACACAAGATCTCCAGTTTCTCACTGTTGCGTCACCTTCAGGCCTTTCAGTTTGAAGAGGGAGAATGGGTATGATGAATGTAGTTTTGTTCTTCGAGTTTGGATGTGCAGCTCCTGGAAAAATGCCCTTAAGTAGTTTGGTTTCTTGACAGGATGAAGTTATGAAATATTTATGCGCACTAAATTTGGTCCTCTGCTAAGAAGGAAGGGTTTTTCTTGATGATATGGGCTGAAGGAGGAATGGGAGGAAGTAGTTTGTCATTACATCAAGATACAGTTGGAAGTAGTTAGGCATCAGTGCCTACCTTATCCATGTAGAAATTATAAATATGTCAACTTCTGTTTTTTCAGATGAAATTTTAAGACTGTAGTTATGATCCAGGTTATGCTTTTGGATCCTGTTAAGTCAGGAGTCAAGTTTTGTTTTAATCTGTTCATGTGTTTTAATATTTTGCTGGTGAATATTCTTATATTAATTGAACAAATAGGCTGGAAGAAAAAAAAAAAAAGCTCCTATTCTTGAGAGGAAACAAATGTTTTTTCTATTATTCTTTTTTTCCCAACATGTATAACAGTTTAGATATTTCTAGAGAATAACTCAAATACAAAACTGCTAAAAGAGTGCTGAACATCATACCAAAGAATATGAATGGACTTTAGCTCACGCTGTGGAATTCACTGAGTGGGCTGTTTCAGATGCAAAGAAGCAAGACTCAAAGAGCAAGAGAGGAGCGAGCTTTGTGTTGTGTTTTTTCCTGTTCTCGCCCCCCCTCCCCATCCTGATCTGCATTGTCACAGCTGAATCCCACCCCAGTGACACAGAGAAGCTTGTGGGTGGGTGCCGTGGGGAAAAGATTTGTCTCCGGGAGCCGGCAGCAGAAGGAGATGGTGTCGGCTGCGGTTGCTGCAGCCGGGCTGGAGGTGAGCATCGCTGGGCGCTGAGGCGACGCGGGCGTGCGGGGGGCTTGGGCTGCCGGCCTCCAGCTCGTCTGTAGCAAAGGCTAACAGCGAGCCTGTGGCTGCATCTTGCTGCTAACGCCGAAATGATGTTGTGCCCGATTATCTCGGGGCTTTAAATGTCCGGTAATTATTTTTCTAAGGATAACTTTGGAGGGTAAAAGAGAAATTCTGTCAAGGTTAAGATCTGGCAAATACTGCTTTGCACAGAGCTGACCTTCAGGCCAAACTTTTTTTCTTAAGCTCACTGCTCCCTTTGGACTCCCAAGAGTTTCTTAGCAGAACTCCCTTTCCCCCAGCCCCTGTTGCTGTGTTTCCACTAGTACAGAGCAGCCTTTGCGGGTAGTTAGTTCTCACCCGCAGATTGGGTATGAACTAAGAGTTCACAGAAATCAGCAGCTTGTGTACAAAGTCTAAAGTTTCTGGGATTAAGAGGGCATCTGGTCCTCTGATTTTTTTTTTTTTTTTTTTTTTTTTTTTCGACAGGGGATAAACATATTTATGCATGCTCTAAAAAAAAAAAAAAAGTTATGGAAACTGGTAGTCTTAGGATCAAACATAGTGGCACTTGTCCTCAACACACAGAGAAGTGATTCCCTACTGTGCTTGGTGGGGAAACCACACAGAACTTCTCTGGACTGTGGATTGTGATGAGCCACTGAAACTCCAAAGGAAATTCTTTTCTATGCAGTGTAACTGTGTGGTTGCTGTAAGATGAAATGACAGAATTAGTGGCTCTGAAGAAAGGAAAAAAAATCTATAAAATACGTAACAAATTTGAAAGGTAATTTCTTCTTTCTTACCCCTGAGTGAACTCTTGTGAATATCAGCAGTGGGTGAATAGTGAGTTCATGCTGCTATTGCTGCTGGGGATGAAGAGATTTTATTGACTTTTTTATTTTATTTCAGGTTCTTTTTTCCTTGTCCATTTCAAAACTTTTCATGGTGACGTCTGTCTACCCTAGTCACATTCAGGGGACTGTTGTTCCCTGCAGCACATTACTGTAGGGCTTATTCCAGTTCCAAGTATCTGGAAACTGAGCACCCTCACAGCTTATCAAAGAACATCGTACTCAATAGAACAGCGTGGCCGTGTGCATAATGAAAATTTTGTATTGCGTCACTCTACAAATGCGGGTTATCTGTGCAGCTGAACAATACTTTGAAACTACAAAGAGACTTATTCTTTTAAGGTCTGAATGCTGCTATCCGTGCTTTAATTGTCTTGAATGACCTCCTTCTTTTGAGAAGCTAGTGCAGGGTGTCTCAGTAGTCTTCTATTGAATAAATTTTTAAAAGGAATCATGTGGGGGTAGGGCAGAGCTTTCAAGTGA